ATGATTAGAAAGGCGTGGTATATTCCTGATAATTTACTATGCTTTTGATAGAATTTACAGCAACACATATCTTGTACGACATTTTTTGATAGATCAGTCACAATAGCTTGATACGGCCCTGTAGCGTCTCCTACGGTTAAGTTTTTGATCACGTGCAATACGGGTGTATATGTTTGATTTTACTTTGTTTCTTCGATGGATACAGTTTATATACCAAGTGACAACAATGTCAAGTCAACAAGCAAATGTAAAAAAAGGTTGATGAGGTTTGATTTTGAGTCACCCTGCAAATGTAGCTCTACTAAACTACCGGACCGCATTCATAGCCTACAAGAGAAAAAAAAATCTTCTATACTGGAAAGGAGGAAAAAATAATGTATCAACCTGATACATCTCCCCCTCTTACCAACAAAGAAAAAGAAACCCAAAGTTCTTTTTCAAAAAAAAAAAAAACTTACCCAAGAAAATACGCTAAAGGTATCAAATAGTTACAATTACGTATAAACCCAGTTACTCGTATATATAAATACTCCGTTCAAATCCTGACAACCTCAGTAATTTGGTTCGCCTTGCACAATATCATCACCTTAGATATCTACCGTTTCATAGGAGACATCACAGCCATGATACGTTTGCGACAAAGGAAGCAAATCTGTTTAAAAACACAGAGCCGAGCTCTATAACTTAGTTACAAAGATACTATAGGTAGCACCCCTCTCCCAGAGAAAAAATTTACACGGCCTATACCTATATACCGTTATAACTAAAACGGAATATTTCTAACACTAGAGGTTTGCAGGTTACCTCAAAACGAGAGAAAACAAAGCGCGGAATTTAGAGTGCTAGGCACTAATCAAATCAAGCGATGTCTAAATTTTATTCAAAATCCCTTACCCTGTAAATTACCACCAGCAATTAACAGGTAGACAACAAAATTTCGCGTTTTCCCTCCAACTAACTAGACTGAATTTACCTTTTGCACACTGCACTCAGCCATCGAATCCTTTGGAGACCATCAATAGTCCACAAGACCAGAGCTAAACTCAACACAAACTGCACAATTTCTTGATTTATTGTGATTTTGTACCGCCAATTGTGAATATAACCCTTTTTATTATAAAGTAAACTAAACAACCATATGTCAATCCTGGAATCATAGAACATATTCATAGAATCACGGTATGCGAAGTTACGATGTATCAGTACCATATTTATGAATCGATACTAGTCGATGCGATTTCAAACGGAGGCGACATCTGTCGTGTCGAAAATGAACTATGGATGAAAGAACTATATATCAATGAACTATTCCAGGGTAAGACGATGAATCGGGAGCTCACAACTGTCTAATGCGACGCCTATAATGAGAAAAAAGTACTATATGAAAGAAAATGAAAATTCTGGAAAATTTTAAGGTGATAAAACGCGTAAAAAAGCAACAATCCTCCAAATACGTCCACTAAAACAGTTGGGCGCCATATGTTACCCTCGTGCCAGGGGGGTGGTTGTAGGTGCACTTCCCTGCACGATGAATGTTACTTCTGGGGTTCGAAGTGGTTGTTGATTTGGAGGATTAGGGCGCTGAGGAAAATGAAAAGATTGCCAATTTCCAGAGCTTGCCCAAAATCTATTTAACTATTTTTAATAAATCACCTGAACGGCACTATTACAAAGTTTGCAACAAACTACCTGAAGGGTGCTATGACAGCTATGAGATAATAGGTGGAGAGTTACGTATAAACCATAGAGAAAATCTTCAGGTAGTTAAACTAGAAATATGTCTAACCTTGTTTAGTGTTTACGATTATTGCAGGGTCACGGCAGTTCCTACAAGGTTTGGACAAAGGGCTGATCCCACGCACCACGATAGCACCTAGGACTTAAGATTGTGAATCTAGTCTTGGTAACCGCTCACAGTGTACAATTTTCAGCTAATAAATCTTGAATTCTGAGGTAAGAGTATGATTTCAAAATAAACCCGTAACACCGGGAAGAGAATGAAAACATAGGTCCTCTGTTACCCACTTCATGCGTCCTGGAGTTAGGAAAATTACGTTCCGCCCATGGTACGGAGAGTCGATCTGTTTACTTATTTCATATGGCGTTGATGACGTAACCGCCAAGAACGGTCATTACAACTATAGTCAACGCCAAACAAAGTGGCGTGCACGTCATCAAGGTGGGTGTGTTGAAAAATTTACATTGTTGCCAAACTTTTTGTAAAATAATAAAATTTATTATTTACATATCTAGGTTTATAAGCAATATTAACCTCAAATGAGAACAAAAATAATAGTATAATAAAATTATAGATCTGTACTTGCATAATCATTAAGTATGACAATTATTGATCAGATGACACTATGAAACTACCATATTTAATTGATAGCTTAAAGGTACTGAATAAAAATCCAAATGGGGTCCTCCAAATTTTATGCATGGTATTTATTTTACAGAATTCATACAGAAAAATGCATTCTAAAATTAGGTAAGCTACTGGTGAAAGCTTTTTCTGTACAATAAAGTTAGTCGGAGTTTCTTTCTTCAGCGCTGTCTGAATCTGAATCTTCATCACTCTCAAAGTTGATTATTAAAGGTTCGATGTCTGGTCGATCAAAAATTCGTTCTCTTTCATACCATTTAAAAATTTCTTGCTCAGTATGTCGAACACTATTTTTCCACATGTCTGGGGTAACCGTTTGTAGAGCCTCGTTCCACATATCCAAACAGTCTTTTTCACTGTTACCATCTCTACCAATATGTCTGTTATAGTAACCTTTTACTATGCCCCAAATTAACTCAATAGGGTTAAATATACAATGGTAAGGAGGCAGACGAAGAACTTTGTGCCCATGTTGTTCCGCCAATTCATCAATCACGTATATTTTAGGTGGTTTGTTTCTAAAAAAGCAGTTATTTTAAGAATAGGAATAAACAAAAGAAATATAAACTGTCGACCAAAATATATATAATTAAGAAGCATTATGTGCCGAGCAACAATACTCAATAGCTCTGTTTTAAACATTGTGTTTAAAAATGGTATGTTTTGATTTGTCAACCAGTCTTGGATATTTTTTTTTGTCCATGCATTGTTGGGCACTTTGTTCAATATCATACTGTGATAAGGGGCGTTATCCAGTATAATCATAGATGGACTCTCCAATTTTTCTAATAACTGATGTTGAAACCATTTCAAAAAATTGTCCTGGTTCATCTCTCCATGGTATTCGCTCAAATTTGTTTTCGAAGAAAATATCGCTTCACTACCCTCAATAAACCCATTTTCATTTCCAGCATGTAATATAATGTATCTAAAATAAATTAGTTTTAAATTTTATAGTGCAAATTGTGTAAAAGTACATACCTTTTACCATCTGTTTTAATAGCTTTCACGCTTTTTTGGTTTCCATTTTGCCAAGAGCGACCTATGGTCCCATTTTGAAATATCCAAGTTTCATCGAGGAAGACAAACTGGTATAAGGCCTCAACCTTGGCTTGATTGTATTGCCTTAGAAATTCCACCCTTTTCAAAGCTATACTTGGTAGTTCCATGAGCCCTCATCGCGGATTGTCCTTAAGCCACTTAAATCCAAGATCTCTAAGCAACCGCCTTAAAGACGTGGCACTACCATCAAATAATGCCCTATCTCTTAATCGAGACCATAAAGTTTGTATCGTAACTTGTTCTTCTGAAACCATGTGTAATATGACATTATAATTTAGTTAACAAATTAATGCAAATTTCTGATAAGTTATTATAATAAGATCTTACTTTTGTGATACATATTATAGATCACTTCTCGAATGGCACTTGTATCCAATGTCGCTGTGTTGGTTACACGTTTAATATAACTCCGCTTTTTCTTGGGCGATTCTAAATTTGCATCACTTTTCACACCCTCGGAAATACGACTAACTGTCCTTAAACTAATTTTTAAAGCAGCAGCAACACGCTACAAAAAATGAAATAAAATTTCACTATTATTAATATACATTACATATAATTATTAGTAACCTACCTCTTGAACAGCATTTAAAGGCAACAAAGGCCCGTTGTTGTCCCTTTCTTGCTCAAAGTAGTGCATTAACGAGGCCACGAGTTCCTTACACCGACTATTTAACTGTTTGGGCATCTTTATATACCAAAATTGCCTTTATATACTCGTAAAATTAATAATTTTGTTTTGAAACAAACAGTTGTTGATTTATAGTATGCGGGGCCAAAGGATTTATAAAGATTTGAAATGCCACAAATTGATTCAGTGTCAAAATTAATACAAATGTCAGTTCCCAGTTTAAATAAGTTTCAAGGTGACAATGTGTCAACGCTGCGAAATCGGTTTAGTGCGTTTACATGTCGATAAATGATTGGAGCGTTTGCAAAACATTTTATTTCGGATAATGCGTCTAAATTTATCAGAAAGCAACTTATGTGATATTTTAATAACAATGTTTATATGACTATTAACCATAATAAGAGAGTAATGACCATTTTACAATTTATATATCACATTAATATGAAACTGCAATAGAGCAATTGTTTGTGATAGAAACCTAGGCATTAGGTCGGGGAATTTTTATCGTGATGACGTGCACGCCACTTTGTTTGGCGTTGACTATACGTACATTTTCTCGTTTTTTACGTTTTTTAGGATCTTTACATAATATCCCTGCCGGTGTGTCATCCCATATGTTTCAGAAAACTTCAAGGTGTGTTATTTTAGCATAGTAATCATAGGTCATAAGCAAAATGCAGAGATGTTTCAGTTATATTTCTGCACTTACAGGCACTGTTGTTATGAGTTTGCAGCATATGAGATCACGTAGAAATAATGAGTAGCGTGAGAAGTAAGAGATTATAAGCGTGAAGTCTTACTTTGCATGTACAGTCTGTTTTTCTTTCGTTCAGCAAAAAATTATGTCTCTACGATCTATTCTTGGAAACTAGATAAAATAAATTGTTTGAGTTTATGTTATTTATTCATAAATATATGATCGTACCTAATCAGAAACGTGATTATGTCATTCACTTATCTTCAATTATGTGCTGACCCGAAGAGTACAAATTAATATAAATATACAACATAAAATCATAATCCTATATAAAGCCAATGCTAAGAAAGCGTAGTCGTCAAAATGAAAACTTTAGTTGCTGCGATAGCTGTAGGCCTTCTGGCCTTTGCCACTGATGCCAAGGTAATGATTTTATTTATCATATTCTATTATAGACTAATATTCATTTTTATTATGTCTTGTCAATGGCGGTCGGAGCCCTTGAATCAGTTGATCATCTTATGGGATCTGTCAGGTCCAAAAGATATCGAATTTGAGATGGAATTTACACTTTTACACTTCTCAGTCAGTCTGCAGTCATCTCAATCTCAACATTTTGTTGCAGCTTGTATAAGGTTATTCTTCAAGGTAGCATTAGGCATCTTTTACATAGAACTGCATATTTTTCTGGCCACATGGAGCGACATATGTTCGTTAAAATTACTTTTCACTGGCCTATTTTTAAGTACATGTTTCTATAGTTGAATTGGTTAAATATGGGGTTGTCCAAAACGGACGCAGGAAAGTAAACGCATATTAAAACAAAAAAGATTGATATTCAAATCATGTTGGGTACTTTATTTTGAAGGTTCATTTATACCATTTGGCATTTATCTCGGCAATGATGTTGTTTTTGAGTTCTTGGAGGGTGGCTGGTTTGTTAACGTAGACTTTGCTTGTCAAATATCCCCATAAAAAGAAGTCCAAGGGAGTCAAATCGCTCGATCTTGGTGGCCATGGCACATTTCCTCTGCGTGAAATCACGCGATCACCGAAGAAGGACTGCAATCGATGGATATTGACGTTGGTTGTGTGGCATGTTGCACCGTCTTGTTGGAAATAAACATCGTCCATATCCATTCCTTCAAGTTGCGGCAAAAAATAGTCCTCTATCATCACGAGATATCGCTCAGAATTGACGGTAACGGCGTCCCCGGCCGCATTTTCGAAAAAGTAAGGTCCGATGATGCCTTTTGACCACAATGCAAACCACACAGTCACTTTTTGAGGATGCATCGGCTGCTCTTGATACTCACGGGGATTTTCGTTCGCCGAGATGCGGCAGTTTTGCTTGTTTACCGTCCCATTCAAAGTGAAATGCGCTTCGTCGCTCAACATGATTTTTGATGAAAAATTGGCATCAATTTGGCGGTGTTCAAAGAGCCAATCTGAGAACGTTCGGCGCGAAAAATGGCCGACCCGACGCAGCTCTTGCGTCAATTGGATCTTGTAGGCGTGTACATTCAAATCCTTGTGGAGAATGCGGAGCAAACTGGTCCTCGAAATGCCCAATTCTTGGGATCGACGCGTTGTTGATTGTTTCGGATCGTCTCTCACACTCTCCTTCACAACAGCAATATTTTCCGGTGTGCGAACGCGCCTTGGCCGGCCAGAGCCTGGCAGATTTGCCACAGAACCTGTTGCCTCGAATTTACGCACCAAACGACCGATGGTTGTTTCGTTTGGGCGGTTGTTGTGACCGAAATCTTCACGAAGCGCGCGTAACGTGTTTTTTATTTTTGCACCATTTTTGTAGTGCTCTTGAATAACTTTAATGCGGTCTTCAATCGAATACGACTCCATAGCGATCAATGGTAAACATTCGACTAACAAAATGACATGTCGGTGACAGAAAACAAAGATGGCGTCTATGTCAAATTGACGTTTACTTTCCTGCGTCCCTATTGGACAACCCTTATTTCATTTTTGTATTCTGAGTGCATGTGTCATTTTAGCATACCTCTAAGGGTCTAAGGGGTCTAGAATCCGACGAGAATGGGTAACCCAGGGGTGCATTACCAGTTCAATTCAGCAATTATGTCTGATAGTCTAATCGTATTAGACGAAAATACCCCTGGCTTGAGAAATAATTGTAAAGTCTGGTTTTATTGCAGCAAGTTGTTCAAGGGGGTATCCAAAACATGGACGCGTCAAATGGGTACAACAATTTTTGTGGGAAAACTTTTTATTCGACAACAAAGAATGGGAAACGTGTTTTTGGGATTCAATCGAAGGACCTCTATTCTTCAGTTTGAGCGAGAAGAAATTGTGAGAAAAAGTCGCAAAAAGCGGGCGTGGCCAAGAGATGCAATATTCTTGAAATCAATTCTACCGCAAATTGATAGAAATGAATTCACTTTAGGCAGTCGCTATTTCTCTTAGTACCGACCAAGAGAAACTGGAAAAATTAGTAGAAAATAGTCCTATATAACCTAAAAATTGACGTGTTTGGCATTGTTATTGTCGATCCTGCTAAACATATTGCAAAAAATGGTAAATTTCAATCAATTGATGTATACTTTATCTGAAGTCACTTGAAATAGCATAAAAACCTTTGGTCGGCGCGTCCTTTGTAATTTCAGGACGTATCATAGGCGTGCGGTCATTTATTTAGAACGATAATAATAATGTTTTTATATCACAATAAATGGATTTTACTATCTCCTTATTTTTTTGATTTGGGATAAAAAATACTTATATAGGGAGTTCAATTTATGTTGACTGAAAGTTAAGAAATGGAAAAATTACAGAATTCCAACGTTTGACATAGGCAAATATTTACATAGCAGGTAGGTATATAAAGACTTACATTATATGTATTTATATATCATCCTCGCCTTCGGAGCTGTCGCTAGAGTCATCTTGTAGAGGAATTACAACGGGATTTACAGGAGGCAAAACACAATATTCATTTTCTTTTTCAATAATATGCCTAGAACACTGCTTCCATAGGTCTGTGGCAGCAATATGAGATACTGCATCTCTTATTGTGGCCAATAGCGATTCACTTAATTGAGGGGTCTGATTATGTTTTCTTACTTTTTTTTTTAAAGCAGCCCAGACCAACTCAATCGGGTTAAAAATGCAGTAATAGGGAGGTAGACGTGATACTTCATGGCCATTTTGCTGAAGCAGATTGTCAACAACATACTCTTTTTCAAATTTTTGTCTTTTAATAAGATCCAATAATATGGCTTTGGTTGATTTTTGTGGTATTTCCATTCCCTTATCCTTCATAAAATCAATAACGTCTTGTTTTTTGTGCCTGTATTCGGAATTTTGTTTTTCTGTCGGGAATGGTATGGCGAATTGTCCATAATAATCACTGAATTTGGGGAAATGTTTGGTATTAACTGCTGCTCTATCCACTTTTCAAATAAGTCGGAGGTCATGTCCTCATGATAGTCGGCACATGATTCTTTGATATTTTTGGCAGATAACAGCAAGGCATTAGGTATAAATCCATTTTCACTGCCAGCATGGAGAATAATGATTCGTTTTCCACGGTTGCATGGTGCATTTAAAATGCACTTGTTGCTGTCGTCAACCCAGCCGTACTGCACAACATCATGGATATCATACCACGTTTCATCCAGGTAAATCAGATTTCTTTTCTGCTCTCTATAGATTTTAACATTGTGCAAAAATTCTTGGCGCAATTCAACGATTCGAGACGACTCCATAATCACCATTCTTTTATCTAATTTTTTGTATTGAAAACCACACAGTTTTACAATACAGTGCAGTGAGTCTAAGCATTTGTAATTATAAAAATCTTCAGGATAATCTTTTAATTTATCCCGTATCATTTCCAACGTGGGCACCAAATTTTCTTTATAAAATCCGTATATTATACGACGAATATCTTCCTGAAAACCCACGTCTATTCTTTTTAATGTTTGCCCTATGCGCTTTCTGTAGAAGGAATGGTTGACTACATCTCCCCTTTTTATAACCCGATAAATGGTAGACCGACTGATTTTTGTCAGGATACAAATTCTGTTTAAAATTTGATTTTGCGAGGAATCTGGATTTTCGTTTTTCAGACAATCATACATATTTAGGATTACTCTTTGGGTCTGTTCCTCTAAATCTTTATGAAAGAATTCTGCCTGCACAGGTTCATCAACCATCTCGTCGTGGCTTGGAGCATTTTCCCAAGGTCTCCAAAGAGCCATATTTAGGACACACAAGAACAATCAACACAACAATTAAATCAACAAGTAAACTGAGTATTCAAAAGTCAAAAACACACAAACTAATAAAATCTATGAAAAAACACGGACAGACTAAAGAAAACACGTTTATTCACCGCTACACGTCACTGGCTAAACTGTTTCAATTTTCAGTAGCCACCTGCACTTGTTCGGAGCTCTGAAATACACGCTTTCTCATTGGATATGTCCACGCATAGGCGTGCTTTACTCCACGTGGACCGGTGAAACTGCCTTTGATCTTATACGGGGGATATTTGCTGCGAAATTTGGCGATTTTTGCAGCAACAGAGCGTGTTAAATATAGATATATAAAACGCACCCGGTATTTCACAGTGTTTCAAGTGACTTCAGATAAAGTATACTGGAACGATATTATTAGCGAGGATGTTGAAGAATGGGAGATTGGGAGAGATATTCTTGGGCACTGAGATCCTTTCATAATTTCGGATCGAATATTTGTACAAATGATTAGGTTGACCAAACATTTGGTGTATGAATTGCTGGATGTATTGACTTCATTCATAAAACCACTTCCACGACCTTCTGCACTTTCGATCAAAACAAAGGCAAGAGTAGATATTAAGTTTTATTCATTTTAAAACAGTATTCTTTAATCTATGATTGAATTTTCCCTGGTGCATTTGGGCGTGCTCTCGGAGAAATTAAATCATTTTGTCCTTCTGTTCATTTGTAATGTGCTTTTTTAAAGTTTTCGACTCCATACGTAAAATTATAAGCAGGAGATCTTGACCAGAATCTTTGGTTAGTTTTTAGCTATTCAAATTATTTCCATTTATTGGTTTACACGTTTAATCAAACCTGGCAACCCTGTGTCTTGATTTCCTTTCACCTTTTTATCGAGTTCTTTCAAAAATACAGTATTTTCGAATCGATAGAAAACCCAGGGAATAGAAAAAGAGAGGGAGTGTGGTTTTCTAGTAAAGTCAAGAATAGGGGCAATGATTAGACTATGATGCTTTTTCATTTTCATTAGCGACGAGAAAACGTAATTGCAAAAAAATTCAAAAATAAAATATTGTGTCTTTTAAATGTACAGCACGAAAAACGATGTATCTGATTTCCATGAGTCTATCGGTCTGTCTCTCTGCTGATCCGTGACCTTTCTACAATATGGAAAGTATTGCCAAGGATGAAAAAGCTTTGAAGTTTTTGAGAAAAAAGCAAAAAACATAAAAATCTCTCAAATTTCGTTTTCTTCGTTTGGATATATCTGCTTTCTGGGCCATGTGTGCAATGTTCTTTTCGAAATCAATTTCACTCAAGTTCTTAATAAAATTCTTCTTCTTCATAATTCACACATCGTATACTTGATCGTACATTTGCCCTTAAAACTTGAATGATAGCGAAATCTATACGAATCACTGATTCTGCTGTCTGCGATCACCGGCGAGCGTGCCGGTCTTGGTTAGTGTTATAGCCTTACTGCCGCGCTGCCGCGTTTAATGCGTTGTGTCGTCAGGTATCGGGGAGGGACGACGTTGCCAGGTGGACTATCGCTATGGCAGGGAAAGAATGTCTATGGTCCAATTGTATGGGTCTGTTTGACTAACCTGATCAACTAAATTTCTTTGTTATACATGTTCGCAACTAACTTTTTCTCAGAGGTTCATAACTGTGTTGAACATAGTATACTGAATGACATATAAATCCGATTACCCAGTTTAAATGGTTTTATTTTAATAAAAGTTGGTGAATGTATTTATCTTACAAGTGAAAAAATTTTCAGCCTCATCAGTTGGACATTCCGGTTTTTATACTGCTTTTTTTTAATTCACTAACGCTCTAAAAATGAATATTACAGCCGCAGTAAAGAATCAACGTTGGCGGTTTTTGGTTCTTGACATCCTTTACGATCGGTTACGATGCCTAGAGTACGGAGACCTGTACGATTTCGTCAACTTAGTGAGTTTGATAGGAGCCGTATAGTGGGACTTCGGGAAGCTGGACTTTCTTTTCGGGCAATTGCAGTTGGAGTGCAAAGAACTATAGACACTGTGGTTAGGTGTTGTCAGGCATGGCTTCGAGAAGGCCGTACGCAAAGAGCAAGGGACACTGGTCGCCGCCGTAGAACAACAGACCGTGAAGATCGCCGCCTATGATTATTGGCCTTAAGGGACCGTTTCTCCACTACCAGGTCCATTGCAAATGAATGGTTTGCAGAACACGGAAGACCTATTGGCATGCGAAGTGTTTACCGACGAATGAGAAGTTTTGGCTTGTTTTCATACCGGCCACACTGGGTCCTCCCTTTAACTCGAGAACACCGACGTAATCGCCTTGAGTGGTGCAGACAACGGTCACTCTGGGATCAGGAATGGAACAGTATTGTCTTTAGTGACGAGTCTCGATTTTGTTTAGGCATGCACGATGGTCGTGCCAGGGTTAAAAGGCGACGTGGTGAAAGGAGGAATCCACAGTTTTTTGTTGAAGGACATGTTAATCACACTGTTGGAGTTATGGTTTGGGGTGCTATAGCTTATGGTTCCAGGTCACCTTTAATCTTCATCAGAGGTAACATGAACGCGCAGCGTTATATCCACGAAGTTCTAGAACTCCATCTTTTACCCTATCTTGACACCCTGGCAGATCCGACTTTCCAACAGGATAATGCCCGACCACATGTTGCAAGAGTCACAATAGACTTCTTTCAACATAATGATGTCACATTGTTACCATGGCCACCAAGATCTCCCGGCTTATCCCCAATTGAGCACGTGTGGGATATGATGGGTAGGAGATTGCTCAATTTGCAACGTCCTCCTCAGACTCTAGAAGCACTTCGAGAGGAGTTGGTGGTTGCCTGGAATGAGATACCACAGGAGGACATTGACCACCTGATCAGAAGCATGCCTAGGCGCGTTGGAGAATGCGTAGCACATCAGGGTGCATCCGCACATTATTAAAGGTCAAAGGGCTTTAAAGCAGTGCAATCATTTTGAAATTTTTATCATTCACTTATTATGCTTCATTAAGTACTTATACAAAATGTTATTAAAATAAAACCATTTAAAGTGGGTGTTCGGATTTATATGTCACTTAGTATATTTTATGAACTGATGACAGCTTGTGTAGGAAATGCATATTTCTATGGTCTGTGCTTCTGAGGCTGCTCATCATATGCCAAACATGTCTTTCTGTGTCAAAAAGGAGTTTTAAGATGTATGGCAGGTGTGAACTCTAGACATAGTTGTAGGGGTTTGTTAAAAAATTACCGTATACTCACCTTGCCCTCATTATTCATTTTCGAGGTGGCCATGTGCACCTTCTTGAACCAACATGTTTTTTTATTAAATAAGCACATCCAAGGCAAAACGCCCATCTACATATACCTTCCGTCAAACATAACTTTGCAAGAAAGTCGCCACATATGTTGGGACCTAAAACTTATAATAAACTTACTCAGGAAATTATGTGCTGTCGATCTATCACCTTGTTCAAAAAGAAGGATGTACTGGATAAATGTTATTACGCCACCATTGAATTCATTAGCTTGTAAATATTTATTTTTGACAAATCGAATACATGTATTTTCATGTCAGATTGATAATAAGTGTTAAAGTATTGCCCTAATACTTTTTTTTGATTTAGAGCATCCATCGGGAACGTAGATATGCATATGGTACAAGCCATGGTGGCGGTGGAGGATATGGAGGACAGCATGGTGGTGGCGGAATCGGTGTTGGAGTAGGAAAAGGAAATGGTGGAGTCAGTGGTAAGTCGCTAAAACACAAGCTCTGAACTTACTAAAATTCTTAATGATTTTCCACAATTTTTGTTTCGTCTGAATATAAATGTTCTGGTTGTCCATTCTTTTCTAAAAACGAGGTGTGGGCAACGGAAGAAATATTTGAATACTATGATCGGTAGGGACTTACTTGTAATGAGTAGAAAACTGACTGTATTGTATTTGGACGATCATCAACGTACCCTAAGCAGATCAGGTTTAGCGGGAATGGGGATGGAACAGTCGTAACCCCCGTCCTCAATACTTGGACACAATCTTATTAAAGCAGCATCACTAAATAAAGAATCCTTAAGGCTTATCGAGCAGCTTACGCTGCCTCCTATCATTACCTTCGTATCGAATGTTTCTATAGAAGTCAAATTGAAACTCTTCTATCCAGTACTAGCATACAAACTTACTGTTGTGTTTCCACGCATAGGCAAAAGTGGCATTCTTAAATTAGAGACATGCCTTTAGAAGATATACAGGGTGTTTCAGTTTATTGTTGCATAACTTTAAGATTCGATAGAACTTTTAAAATTAATGCATAAAGTCTATATAAACATGAGTCGAAAAATGCGTGGCTTCCGAAATTTAGGGTGTTTAAATTTACTTTTTAAAATAGTTTTTTTTTAATATTTCGAACAATATTTGATGTATCACAGTGAAAATTGGTATACAAGTGTTTTTTGGTACGACAAAACGAACCATGGGCATAGTTTTACTGTAGCCGCTAGTGTATTAAAATGACCGAAAATTTTTGCTTATTGCAATTTTTTGCTTTTTGAATGAAAAAACTGATTCTTCGTACTATTCTGCATACAAAAGCTCTCCTGTGAGTTTTCGTTATAGTTAGCCGTTTTTGAGATATTTCAATTTTTAAGGTTCGATGCATTTTTAATTATTTATGGGAAAATAATATTTTTTTAGATTTTCGATTTGGGCATTACAAGTAATTAATATGATCGTTTAGATTGTGTTTTTAAACACAGCAATAATTCCTAACTCCAAATAAACACAAAAAACAGAATATTAATTTGTTTAATTTTCCAAAATTATTTTTAACAAATTAAATTAATTATTTACAACTAAAATGCTATTGGATAGTTAGGACAAACATACAAAATCTAAAATAGTTGCTCGAAATGTAAACCCAATTGTTCAATATACAATTCACATCTACGAATGATCGGACGTGGTATAGCATTATCCAAATAAGGCCTTATTTCATCACATGCATTCCTGATTCTGTCTATTAGCAAATCTCTTGTGGTTACGGGAGTCTGGTACACTTGTTCGTTTAGAAATCCCCACAGAAAGAAATCTAATGGATTTAGGTCAGGGGATCGTGGAGGCCAGGCGACTGGTCCTCCACGGCCGATCCATCTTTCTGGATAATTTTCGTCCAGCCAGTTTCTAACTATTCTCGAATAATGAGCTGGACAACCATCAAGCTGGAACCAGGCCAATCTTCTTACATCTAACATAACATCATCCCACATATTTGCATGTTCAGCCTTTAAAAATTCCAAGAAGGTCGCAGCATTTAAGTTTGCAGGCAAAAGGTAGGGTCCAAATAGTCGATTACGGTAGATACCAATCCACACGTTCACACTAAATTTTTTCCCGAACTGCATGCGGATTTTCATGAGACCAAATATGTTGGTTATGAAAATTTACCACTCCACGTCTAGTGAAACATGACTTATCGGTCCATAAAACGTTACTTAAAAACTCCCTATTATTATCAGTTCTATCAAGAATCCACTGAAAAAATGTGATTCTTCGTTCTCCATCTCCTGGCTGTAGTCCTTGCACAGGTTGCAAATGGTAAGGACGACTATAGTCATTTCTAAGAACACGGTGAACATGGCTTGCTGAAATTCCCAAGGCACCAGAAACTCTCCTAACACTTGTGGTTGGATCTCTATCAAACTCACGCAGAATCATACGGGTAAATCTGCGCTGACGAACATTTATGTTTTGATCCCTTTGGATATTCCCAAAACCATTTTCAATTATTTGGCGATGCACTCTTACAAATACTGAGCGAGTTGGATGTCGTCTGTTTGGAAATCTTCGTGCGTATTCTCTGGCTGCTTCTGCTGCGTTTCCATTTACAAAGCCATACACAAAATGCATATCCGCTAACTCTTGATTGGAGAATAAAAATGGCATTTTTATAAAACTTTCGTGCATTCACAATTGCAAAAAAACGTTTCAGGCTTCAACAGACAACAAAACTAACTGTCAACTAATTGACGTTTAACCTTATTCTGCTTTCAATTTCAAAAATATTTGCTGGCACAGCCTACTTCTAAAAATTATCGAGATACTGAATTTTTAACGTTATTTTATCATAAATAATTAAAAATGCATCGAACCTTAAAAATCGAAATATCTCAAAAACGGCTAACTATAACGAAAATTCACATTAGAGCTTTTTTATGTTGAAAAGTGTGAAAAAACAGTTTTTTTATACAAAAAACAAAAAATTGCACTAAGAAAATTTTTTCGGTCATTTTAATACACTACAGGTACAGTAGAGAGCGCCCTCTAGCGGCTACAGTAAAACTATGCCCATGGTTCGTTTTGTCGTACCAAAGAACCCTTGTATACCAATTTTCACTGTTATGCATCAAATATTTAAAAAAAACTATTTTAGAAAGTAAATTTAAACACCCTGTATTTCGGAAGCCACGCATTTTTCGACCCATGTTTATGTAGACTTTATGCATTAATTTTAAAAGTTCTATCGAATCTTAAAGTTATGCAACAATAAACTGAAACACCCTGTAATATGCTGTTGTATCTCGGATAACACACGGTGAGAGATGCTACAAAAGGACAGTGAGGCAACACGCCTGGATCAGGCACATAACAAATTTCGAGGAAGACAAATCAGGGAAGCCAAATTTGACCAAAGTGAGTGTAGATCATCCAATCAGCCAGCCAAACCAGCGATGTCAAATTCAGCCTCCAAAATGCAAGCGCTCTGGGCACTATGTCTCATAATGATAATAAGACTTTGTAAAAAGGTTTTACCGTACGTGTCCCATCCTTCTCCTTGCATTTCACCCCAATATAATTATTTTTATTGTGTGTGTATATACAGGGTGGCCCATCCATGTGTGGACGGGATATTACACATAAACAAAAATGCATTTTGGGAAAATCTATTTATGCGATGTTATACACGACATTTAAGGGCACATTTCTAAAATATTGTCCAATGCACGTATTGACCTTGACCCATAAGGTAATCACAACACAAGCCCCTCCATATCTATCAACGAAATTTATCAGATACTCAGATGTTAATCAACTGAACACAAAGAATAAGCATATCTTGGTTATTCCGAGATACCGAGTTCACTCACTACTGTATAAAGAATTTAAAAAAAATATTGAAGCATTTTATCTCTGATTTCATTGCCCAGTAAGTAGACCGCGGCCATGAATAGGGACTCGTTACAGGTTTTTTTAACTTTTTTGTTTTCATTGGGATTAGAAAATCTACATAAATATTTGTTTGGTTAAGTTGAAAAACGCTTTCTAGCGACACTTCACCTTTTTATACTTTGTATAAATAAAGCAGGATTATTATTATTATACAGGGTGTCCCAATTTCGACCTACATATCAAAGTTGTTATTTTTCGAATAAAATGCCTCAAATTTTATTGCATATTTGTTTAAACCAATTCAAAAGAAGAAAATTGATATGACATACTATGAGATTTTGGTAATTAGCTATTGAGATATAAGGTGTTTTGTCTAGAAAAACCCCCCAATTCGGCAGCCCCTCAGTCCACCATTTTGAAATCTGGAATGCTGAATTTTGTATAAAAAAAACGTCACCTCAGCTTTTAGCTTATTTGTTAGGTCAAATTGTAGTTTTTCTCAAAAATTTCAAATGCATTACCCTGTATATTTGTGCAAGTTTGGATCCAATTTTTTATAAGCTTTTTTTTTGATACTAGACACATAAAGGTTTTTATGGCTATTTTTTCGGTTATTAGCACGTCTTTTATGGAACGGCTTAATTCCCTAAAACATCGCATCATCCTTGGAAACAAATAAATTGTTGATTAGCTACAAACTGTCGAAATTAGCAAAATTAGCATTATAATAAAAACGTGTTTGAAAATGAATTTTTCTAAAGAATAAATGGTGAATATGGTGTTCGTTTTGGGCGAAGCCCAAAGAAATAGTTTCCTAGCATTTCGCATTTATAAGCAACGGTACCCTAATATGCGACGTCCAAGGCCGGAAATATACTAGTTAAGCATAACAAAATGCCTCGAGTTCGAAGACGTCCAAACACTGACGCTCCCGCGGGGGCTAAAGGAGGTAATTACGCCCCAAGACGACTCGAGCAGTCTTTGAAAAGGTGGTATAAAGTAAACGTCTGTGACTTTAAGAAAGGATAGCGGCAACACTGCCAACAGCAACGGTGTGCGCTTCTTCCTGTTGGAACAGGTATAGTCTAGTCTTTTATGGTCTAGTCTAGTGTCTAAATTATGTAGCAGTCCGGAGTCCGCAACAAAAGGAGGTAGGCTGATAAGAGCCATTTTTCGCCCATCAGCGAATAGATATGGCATATACTAAGTGACATATAAATCCGAACACCCAGTTTAAATGGTTTTATTTTAATAAAATTTTGTATAAGTACTTAATGAAGCATAATAAGTAAATGATAAAAATTTCAAAATGATTGCACTGCTTTAAAGCCCTTTGACCTTTATTAATGTGTGGATGCACCATGATGTGCTACGCATTCTCCAATGCGCCTAGGCATGCTTCTGATCAGGTGGTCAATGTCCTCCTGTGGTATCTCATTCCAGGCAGCCACCAACTCCTCTCGAAGTGCTTCTAGAGTCTGAGGAGGACGTTGCAAATTGAACAATCTCCTACCCATCATATCCCACACGTGCTCAATTGGGGATAAGTCGGGAGATCTTGGTGGCCATGGTAACAATGTGACATCATTATGTTGAAAGAAATCTATTGTGACTCTTGCAACATGTGGTCGGGCATTATCTTGTTGGAAAGTTGGATCTGCCAGGATGTCAAGATAGGGTAAAAGATGGGGTTCTAGAACTTCGTGGATATAACGCTGCGCGTTCATGTTACCTCTGATGAAGATTAAAGGTGATCTGGAACCATAAGCTATAGCAACCCAAACCATAACTCCAACAGTGTGATGAACATGTCTTTCAACAAAAAACTGTGGATTCCTCCTTTAACCACGTCGCCTTCTTAGAAATGTACCCTCAAATGTCATTTATAACATGCCATAAATAGATTTTCCCAAAATGTATTTGTTTATGAGTAATATTTCGTCCACACATGGATGGGCCACCCTGTATAAACCAAAGGCATCATATATAACATAATCTATGTAGACTAACGGTTTCAAATTGATTGATAAAAACGAGATGTGGCGAAACTTACACTCCAAAGTTCAAACGTAGAATTTCACACCAAGGCTATGACACAATGAGGTAAAACGTGACGTATCAACTTTTTCTTGTCCTTGTTCTTAGAAGGTGTACCTACTTTCCGATGGCAGATTAGCTGCTATCATATTTCGAAAGATGATATATCTCGGATAGTGGATAGTTTCTATGCCTTCGTCCGTTGTCCACCTGAGACCAAGCCTAGACCATGATGATGAGATGACAAAAAGCACGAAACAACTGTCCATCTGTGGTCGGATAGACGAAAGCAGTATATGCGCTTCTTTAATGGTGAACAGACTACATCTACTATACCGCCAGAATCGTCAGCCTCTAGCGGTCACAGTGGTGACAACCGCGAGCATATGTCTTCACAGTTCCAACAGATAGCTGCTATTCACTCTCGCCATGGTCAGTTCTGGTAAAAGATGTCACTTTGTGATGACTTATTTCGGTAAAAATAGCAATTTACTCAACAACTTTGACAACTGACAGCTACAAATAGTTCGCTAAAGCTTGATACATCCTCGGCCCATACGCTGAAAATGCAAAAGGCCCCTACGCATCTGGCCTACACTCATGGGCGCCTATTAGGGGGGCAAGGGGGGCATATGCCTTCCTGGCTTCCCCTTGAGGAATAAAATATTCTTAATAGCGTGTCCGTTTGAACAAGGAGCGGCGTGTATGTTTTACTCCTCAAAACGTCCCTACTTAGAATTTATTTTTTTTCCATTAGCAACAACTAACAAGCTGGCCTATACGTTCTGCTATATGGGCGCCTATGTCTACAATCAATGACAATTACTGTTCCATGAACGCTTTAATATCGCCTAACGCATTTGTAGATGGCAGTCGTCAGTGCTGTCACTACTTGGCGCACTACACGAATATAGACTATAGACATTTTTTTCTTTGTAGATTTTGGAGGAGGCAGTTCAGGAGGTGGATATGGCGGTGGAAGTGGAGGAGGTTTTGGAGGTAGCGGAGGTAAATATACATCTTTCAAAGTATTTAGGTTATAATTAAGCCGCCATACACAGTTGTAATAAAAAATGAGTAACCTGATATATACGAGTTACACTAGAAAAAAATCTACCTAGCCATGAAAAAACAATTGAAATGTTCAAGAACAACATGTCAAATAGTGGCATGCAGTCTAACTTTGCCTGCAAAATTTGAGCAAATTTTGGTAATCAGTTTCCAATTTATAGTGAATTATCAGGAAAAATGATCAGCTTGAAATTAGTGTATCGCAGACTCATAAGATGTCGTAGCAGTTCCGATGGGGCATAAATTAATGGAGGATGATTCCAGCAGTAGAAGACCTAAGACAGTGACAAATAATATATTAATAGGATTCCAACCGCGGTAATTCTACCTACATATTGAACTTGTTTCACAGATTTTCCCGTACATTTTCTCTTAAAATTTCCCATCTTAAGACGAAACAAAGTGAACTTTCTTACGAAATAAGTTGATTTCTGGGTTATTCTTCACGGAGATTGCTCCCGACACATTGCTATCGCGCGGGGACTTTCGTTTGTACATATACCGTGGGTAATCCTACTGGGGTTGTGGTAGAGATACACCTGCAGCTCCCAAACTTCTACCTCAACTCCTACAGTTCAGTAATTAAAATCCCGGAACTTTCTAATTTCTCTGATACAAACAAGCTCACAGAGCTTCAAAATTTATTTCATTTCTTATTAGCTCAACTCTCGCAGCTATTGTTGTTCAATTCATCAATTTTGTATCAGATGTGGTTCATATAGGCTTCACAAACTCCCTGCTGCAATTTGTCCGAGACCGGTGTTTCCACTTTCCGACTCCCGGTGTCGCACTTTCCGATCTTCGGACCTCCGATGTCTTCGTAGAAAGAACACCCCTTCCAGCAGATCAATTTAATCCCCCAACTCCTCGCGTCTTGAGGAGTAACTCCCACCTTTTGCTTGAGGTGATCCGCAACTCCTTAACGGGTCATGATCGTTGGGTCATTCTCTCCACGTTGAACGCGGTACAAATGTCTACCTCAACTCTCGTAACTGAGGAGTTTATCCCTCTTTCGACATTGCAACTTCCGAGAAGGTACCCTCTTATCTTCCCATCTGTACGATCATACATCGCATATTACTACAAGCGGGTCAACCAGTGAGTGCAATGAGCAGCTTCCGCAGATGGGGACGTCGTAAATTGCTATCCAGTGATCCCCAAGCCTCATTCTGGGCTTATCACGATCACTTTTTGTAAACAGAATCGCTGCATTGACCATCTTACAGTGTAACATCATCTACAACAGGCATGAAGACAGACAGACATGATTTGCTGACGCATTCTGTAGACCCCCTTTCTTATACTCCAACTACCACGAATGCCTAATGCCTAAACATCCATTGGTACCGTGGGGCTATAAGAGGATACAGGGAAAATAGGGGAACGCCACACGGACTCTGGCGAGGGAACACGTGTGATCCGCCGGGTGGTACCTCCACGTTCGACAGTAGAGACCGTCTACCACCTACGGACAATCATAACATCCATAGCCAAGAGAAAAATTTCTCCTGGGACGGGATTCGAACCCGCACAGCGCACGGCGACTGATTAGGAGACCGAAGAGTCTACTACTGCGGCCATCGCTGCTGCCTAGGAGCTTACTGCAAGAGAGCCTACAGTTTTTCAGCGCCCGACGTAACAATCTGCTCATACTGTGAGCGCAGCCGTGCTTAACGATATGGAAAGGGGCAACTTTGATAGATGGATACCAGGCAAAGACAGTCTATGGGCCTGTTTTACTGACATGATCCGTATAATTTCTCAATTGCACATGCTCGCAACTAATTTTTTTCTCAGAGGACTTAACTTGTGCTGAACTTAATGCTTTATAAAGTGATGACGGTGTAGTGCATAGTCGACCTGCTTAACGCCTTTCTAGGTGGATTGTGAACGGAAAATGTGACTATGGTCCAGGTTGCTAATTCCATTTTTCTCTCTATAGAAGTGCGACACCAAGGCCCTGGCAGCCAGTATACAAGATCAATAATGAACTTTTCAAAACTGTTTTCAGGTCACGGAGGCGGCGAAGGTTTGGGAGGAGGTAGAGGATTTGGAGGAGGCAGTGGAGGTGGTTTTGGAGGAGGTCATGGGGGAGCCGGAAGCGATTTTGGAGGAGGTCATGGAGGAGGTGGCGGAAGCGATTTCGGAGACGGTCATGGAGGTAGTGGAGGATTTGGAGGTGGTGGCAGCCATGGAGGCCTAACGGGTGGAGGAGGATCTCATGGCGGATCAGGATTTGGAGGAGGCAGTGGAGGGGGTTTTGGAGGAGGCAGCGGAAGCGGTTTAGGTGGAGGGCATGGAGGTAGTGGAGGACATGGAGGTTTCAGCGGAGGAGGTAGCCATGGTGGAGCTGGAGGAGGCTATGGAGGTGGACATGGTGGTGGAGGAGGTTATGGTGGTGGAGGAGGTTATGGTAAGTAAAATAACGTGTTGATGAAAGGGTATCAAAAGACATGGGAATTTATGAGTAGAAATATTGATCGTACAGTGAGATTCCCGCCAATCAACTAATGCATCGCAAGAAAAAATTTCGGAAGGTAAACAGCTTTGTAATCCAGATCAGTTTTGGTGACCCACGAGTTGTAAAAACTCTCACCCGCAAGTTTCACCATGTTCTTAAGTACTTTGATCAATAAGACTGATTCTGAATTCCATCCAGTTCAGTTACTTCCTTCGTGATTTGGAGCAGGCAGTGTTGTACAAAACATTCTTAAAAAGGTAATTTTTTTGCAGGTCACAAAGGAGGATACTAGGACACTGTCGTCGATATTGCTGTGAAACGAAAAAGTCATATTGTATATAGTGATTTTGTATTATTTTTGTAAATAAATATATAAAAGCGTATAGTGAATCATTATTTGAAGACAATGCAGATATATAGGGTTGTCCAATAGGGACGCAGGAAAGTAAACGTCAATTTGACATAGACGCCATCTTTGTTTTCTGTCACCGACATGTCATTTTGTTAGTTGAATGTTTACCATTGATCGCTATGGAGTCGTATTCGATTTTAGACCGCATTAAAGTTATTCAAGAGCACTACAAAAATGGTGCAAAACCGCCCAAACGAAACAACCATCGGTCGTCTGGTGCGTAAATTCGAGGCAACAGGTTCTGTGGCAAATCTGCCAGGCTCTGGCCGGCCAAGGAGCGTTCGCACACCGGAAAATATTGCTGTTGTGAAAGAGAGTGTGAGAGACGATCCGAAGCAATCAACAACGCGTCGATTCCAATAATTGGGCATTTCGAGAACCAGTTTGCTCCGCATTCTCCACAAGGATTTGAATGTACACGCCTACAAGATCCAATTGACGCAAGAGCTGCGTCGGGCCGACCATTTTTCGCGCCGAACGTTCTCAGATTGGCTCCTTGAACACCGCCAGATTGATGCCAATTTTTCATCAAAAATCATGTTCAGTGACGAAGCGCATTTCACTTTGAATGGGACGGTAAATAAGCAAAACTGCCGCATCTGGGTTAACGAAAATCCCCGTGAGTATCAAGAGCAGCCGATGCATCCTCAAAAAGTGACTGTGTGGTGTGCATTGTGGTCAAAAGGCATCATCGGACCTTACTTTTTCGAAAATGCGGCCGGGGACGCCGTTACCGTCAATTCTGAGCGATATCACGTGATGATAGAGGACTATTTTTTGCCGCAACTTGAAGGAATGGATATGGACGATGTTTATTTCCAACAAGACGGTGCAACATGCCACACAACCAACGTCAATATCCATCGATTGCAGTCCTTCTTCGGTGATCGCGTGATTTCGCGCAGAGGAAATGTGCCAGGGCCACCAAGATCGTGCGATTTGACTCCCTTGGACTTCTTTTTATGGGGATATTTGAAAAGCAAAGTCTACGTCAACAAACCAGCCACCCACCAAGAACTCAAAAACAACATCATTGCCGAGATAAATGCCATAGAACCGACCATGTTGCAAAATGTCATTGAAAAGTTCGACCATCGCGTGGACGTCTGTAAATCCAGTCGTGGTGAAGATTTGAGCGATATGATTTTTCATACATAAATGGTATAAATGAACCTTCAAAATAAAGTACCCAACTTGATTTGAATATCAATCTTTCTTGTTTTAATATGTGTTTACTTTCCTGCGTCCGTTTTGGACAACCCCATATATTTCATTCAAGAGCATTCTTGTATCTTTGAGTAATTTTTGGTTATTTCAGTTAGTGTGTTTAGATGAATGCAAGAGTTTCTCAAACTCTCCAGCAAGTTCTGCCCTATCTCTTTTGTGCTACTTCTTATATCTTGAGTTAACAAAAAATTATTAAGAAATCCAATTCTGAATAACGTTAAGCGAGAATTAAACAAACTTAGTAAAACTGAATCGATGAAATAGAAGCTAAATACTATCCACAATAACTACAAAAATTTCAGATATCTACTGCATTTCTTACGAAAGTCCATTTCAGCACATCTGAGGCCATTTTGTTCTTCCTAGCTACTATTGTGGCCACAAAAATTTTGCAATGCATACAACAACTTTTAAAAAAAGAGCGAATACTAGCTATCCGTTGGAACTATATAGATTTCTGTGCCCGTTTGTTGCCATTGTGACCGCTAGAGGCTGACGATTCTGGCGATATAATATATGAGGTCTACTCGCCATTTAACAACTAAACATACCGCTTCAATCGGTCCAACCACATACGACCAACCATAAACAGCAGTTTCGTATTTTAGGCAACTCTCAGGTATGACAACGAACGAAAACCGAGCAACTATTCTCTACCTAAGGTATCGAAACAATATATCTCAAAGTGCCATAGATTATCAGAATCAGCCATAGGGAGAATACAACAGCAATATGTCTGTTGGAACTATCTCTTAGCATTTACCATTGACGTGTTCTATGTCATCCTATGCTGATCTGGCACAAGCAATAAAGCAATGAAATGAAATGAAATGGATTTGACAGCCGGGTCACTAATGTGACCGCTAGATGTCGTCGATTCCGACGTTGTAGTAAATAGGATCTACATGTCATTGAAAAAACTAGCAATATTCGACCACAGACTGATGTCAACTATGGAGACCTGTTTCGTGCTTTTCAGCAACTCATCAATATAGCCTAGACTTGGTCTCAGCTTGCACTCGCAGTGGAGATTCTGATAATAGATTGCATTTCGATTATGGCTATTGTCTCAAGAAAATGTATGTTGCACATTTCCTTGAGTCTTTCTATCGGTCTACGAGCCCCTTCCCACTTCAGTTAGCCCACTTCAAGATCTGTACCAAAATATGCCTTTATATATGACGAAACTATTTACTTCTAAAACAATTTATTTTCTCAAAAACATTTTAGATACACTCTAGTCGTAAAAAATTCATATTTGAAATCACTTAGACCTATAACTAATACAACATCTGAACAACTAAACAATGTGCGAATAAATGCCTGAAGTTAACAAAGCAACAACTGAAAGATTACCATTGGGTAACATCACCTTTATTTGTTATTACGGCTAAAATTCTTTGGGGCATAGTGTTAACCAAGTTTTGGCAAAAATTTGGTGTAAAACAATCCCATATTTCTTGAAGCTTTTGTCTCCGTTCGGTGATTGTACGAGCAGGATGTTGTCGTAGAACCTTTTTCATCTCGTGCCACAAAGTTTCAATAGGTGACAGATCTGGACTGCTAGAAACCCATTTCAAAAGTGGTACATTATTTTCTTCCGTCCATTTTATAGCCTTTTTTGAGGTATGGCACGCTGCACCATCTTGCTGAAACACAAAATCTTGGCCGGATGTAAAAGCGATTCTTCTGAAATTGCCAAATATACGTATTTGTTTGTATCCACATTTCCATCAATAAAATAAAGTTTTCCTACTCCTTTTGATGGCATACTGCCCCAGACCATAATGGATGCTGGAAATTTCACTTTTCTCTTCAGACAGTCAACATGGAAACATGGAACGCTTCATTTTTTTTGCGAATAACTCTACTGCGACTGTCACCAACACAAACTTCGAATCGGGCCTCATCACTCCATTGTATTACACACCATTGTTGAGGTGTCCATTGTCTATGTTTTTTAGCCCATCTAAGCCGATTTTTCTTTTGCAGTGGAGTTAATAGTGGCTTTTCTTTGGCCTATAAACAAGTTGTGCAACTTTAGGGTTTTTACTTCACTTTTTTTATAAGAAAACTTACCTTGCAAGTGCTAAGTCCCAGTTTGTGGGCCTCCCTATGACTTGTGGACCTCGAAATTCTCCTTCCAACAGCGTCACTCCTCTGAGCACTTAATTGTAAATAATTGGCATGCCTGTTTTTCACGATTATTCTTCTTAATGCTCCTCGGTCGGGATTTGTGGTATTACTTTTTTTCACATATCGTGGCTTAATATTAACTGAACCAGTTACGTTATATCTTCTAACAATATTTCTCACACTGTACCGCGATAAGTCTTACAAAGTCGCAATTTCTGAGTTTGATTTCCCAGAATTAAAAAATTTAATTATCAGTAACCGAATTGTCTCACTAATAATCTTTCCTCTATCCATTTTGAAAATCTTAACTACCCAAAACTATTTTAAACGTATTCTGACAGCTGTGATTAATAAAAACAATTGTCATGGCTTTTATTTTTCACAGCCACCTATGACTTATTCTGCATTGAAATGAAAATAGGTTGATATGCTGTAATTGCAACATGTGTTATTTTTATGTTACAAATTTGATTAGGGAGTGATAAAGTTGGTGTTTTCTACTATATATTATCAAAATATTCATTGTTAATATTTTAGACTATAACACCCTGCTACATTTTTATTATTTGTGTTTGATAAGAAAAAATCTGAGATTTCAATAGTCGTTGGTGACAATGTGATATTTTTGAAGACCAGTGAATCGACTACCAAAAGAGGAGGAAGAAAAATCAACATGCATAATGCGTGATTTTTTCAATTGTTCAGACGGTCCGAGTCACGAAAACTTTGTTAAATTGGTAAGAAAGTCAGAAAAATTGTCCTGAAACATCTTCTTTTCCCGACTGCCTCAGAAGGAGAGATACGAGGTCTGTAAAGTGATGATACTGGCAACATAACGTTCGATTTGGCAACTCTGGAGGTGCCGGGATTGGAGGGGAAACACAGGAATATGTGATCCGCCTTCTGTGCAAGTTTGAACTTGCTCAGTCATTTGGTTGTCCGTAGCGATTTCTTTTTAATGTGAAACAGTTTTTCCTATTGTGTTCTAAAGATGAGCGACATCAATATCGAGCAGCGATGTGCTATTAGGGTTTGCAGCAAGCCTACAAAGAATTTTTTGTCAAGAGCTCAGGTTTCTTGACGGCTTAAGGCATTTGCAGAAAGGAGAATGTCGATTGAAAATGAACCACGATGCGGAGGGCCTTCAACTTCAAGGACCGGTAAAAAAATCGACTCTTGTGCGCTCAGATCATCGGGGTGTCAGTCAGAATGATCGAGAAAGAGTTAAATTTGACTCACATCACCGTTACAAAACAACGATAATGCTTCTTGTCACTCAGCAATGTCAATAAACGAGTTTTTAGTCAGTAAAGTCATTCCCGTGGCTCCTCAGCCTCCTTATTCCTCCTAATGACTTTTCTCTCTTCCCGTTAGTTGAAAAATCACCTCAAGGAAACTCATTTTGAGGCAGTCGAAAACGTCCAAGCGGTTGTAACCCATCAATTGAAGGCTACTCCAATATAGGAGTTCCAGCACTGCTACGAGGAGTGGAACAACTGTCTCTAGAGCTGCGTGGTTTCAGAAGGACGTTATTTTGAAAATGAGAATATAAAATAGTAATAATATTAAAATAAAAAACTTACAAAAAATCAGTCTCATCACTTAATTTACAGACCTCGTATGTATTTCGCGAGTGGCTATATTTGTATATAAAAAAATCTATTTTAGACTCGTTCAGTTACTGCAGTCCGGCAGTTTGTATTTTTTTAAATTTACTTGCTTATACTTGTACCACCACGAAGACGTAAGGCTCATTACCCATGGGTTCTATGGGGATACCGGGGAAAGGAGGGGTGCATCAGTCTGGTGATGCCAAAGAGATACACCGGGTGGTACGTCCGCGTTTGATGATCTGAGACTTTCTACCACCTAAGGGGAATCATAACATCCATAGCCAGGACAAAAATTCGACGTCCAGATTACACTGGACAACAAATTTTAGTTTTTTAATTGTATCTTGTGGGAAAAGTGCACTTCTTTGTTAATTTTGGGGCGCTGAATCCAAAAATGACAATGAAATAAAAAAATTAGTTGCGGTTTAGAAAAAAACTTTTTATTTTTAAGGATATATTAAAAAAAGTAACAAGATTCATACACTTATAAGAAACACTATATGCGCTGTCTTTTTGCTGTTCTTTTATGGATCATTTCAGGAGCATTTCTACCAAGAGTCCAACAGTAGTCTGCAAGCATGGAAGGATTCCACTTTCCCTGGTACCTCTTTTCCATTGTTGAAATATCTTGATGAAAACGTTCGCCGTGCTCATCACTTACGGCTCCGCAATTGTCAGGAAAAAAGTCCAGGTGTGAGTGTAGGAAATGTATCTTAAGAGACATATTACAGCCCATCTTTTGATACGATGACATCATATTTTTGCAAAGGGTTTTATAGTTGTCAGCTTTTCTATTTCCCAAGAAATTAGTGACCACCAGACGGAAATCATTGCAAGCAATTTTTTCAATACCTGTTAAAGTGTTTTCAAACTGTGTATCTTTCAAAATAGTTCGAATCTGTGGCCCAACAAAAATACCTTCTTTAACCTTTACCTCACTTAGTCTTGGAAATTTCTGACGCAGGTATTGAAAAGCTGACCCATCTCTATCTAATGCCTTGACAAAGTTTTTCATTAGGCCCATCTTGATATGCAGTGGTGGTAATAAAATTTTTTTCGAATCTACTAATGGCATATGCTGTACATTTTTTTGACCTGGCTCTAGGAATTGACGAACAGACCAGTTTTGTCTGGTGTAATGAAGTGCCTTTGCCCGACTGTCCCATTCACACAAAAAAACAGTAAAACTTTGTGTAGCCTAGCTGCAGCCCAAGTAAAAGTGCAAAAACTTTCAAATCGCAACAAATATGCCATTGGTGCTCATCGTATTTTATGCATGTCAATAGGTACTTCATATTGTCATATGATTCTTTCATGTGAACTGCATACCCTACAGGAAGAGATGGTAAAATATTTCCAATATGCAATAACACTGCCTTTAAACTCAATGTTGAACTGTCTATAAACAATCTCCATTCTTCTGGGTTATAGTTTATATTTAAAGCCGCCAGTAAGCCGTTAATGTTACTGCAGAAAACCAAGTTATTCTCCATGTTGAAAAATGGTTCTAAGTCTTTGTGGCGTTTAAAAAACACATGCCGAAACATCGTCTTCTAACAAGTTCCACTGCTGCAGTCTTGATCCAAGTAACTCTGCCTTACATTTTGGAAGTTCTAAACCTCTTACAAGATCATTTAATTCTGACTGTTATTTTGTGCGGTTGGTGGCATGACGTGCTCGGTATAAAATCAGGATCTTTTGACGTTGATGGCATATCTTCTTCCTGACGAATCACTCGATCGCCATGATCTGATTCGTTTTCTGATTCGCAAGTGTAGGATTCTGGGGGTTTTGGAATAGGATTTTCGTCACTGTGAGGCACAGGTCTCATCGCAGATTGTATGTTTGGGTAGTTAATAACCGATTTTTTTTTCTTGGACATACCTGTGGCTTGTCCAACATAAGGTACCATGCAAAAGTAACAATCATTAATATGATTTGTAGGCTCTCTCCAAACCATTGGGACAGCAAAGCGCATAGACCGTTTTTTGCCATTTAACCAGCTCCTCAGACTTGAAGCACATGTATTACAGCAGATGTGGGGTGCCCACTGTTTGTCTTGATCACCTAGTTTACAACCGAAATAAAGCTGATATGCCTTTGTTATTAGTGGAGTAATAGACCTTCTCTGAGACGCAAAAGTCACATCACCACACACGTAACAAAACTGATCTGGATTGTTTACACACTTTCGAGACATCTTGCATGAACGCTGTCAGCCAACTGAGAAAAAAATGGCTAATATAAAACAATATAATGTACACGTATGTATAACGTAACACAATCATGCCGATTACATCATCTTACCTTGCCGAATATAAAAATGTAGCACGTGCATTCTTGTCAATTACAGTATATTAACACTGTCACAGCAGGAACATATATAATTACCGTATCTCTAAAACTTGAACCAATATTGAAAAAATAAGTTTCATTCCGGTTTTAGCACATTAAAAATAGTAATATTTTGTTGATTTTATTTACTATATTTTTTGGCTGTTGATCAGTGTTATTAGAACACATCGTTTACCTCCTTGCATCCCTAAAAAAAGAACTTAAGGGACTCGAAAATTTTTGAAATGGCCTTTATGCTGCTTCTTGACATCTCTTGAATGCTCATCTTGGAGATCGTTTATTAAAACAACAATACCTTATACAACCGCACTAGAATTGGCCAGTTTATGAATTTCTATAAAGATGTCACACAATACTGTAGTTACACGCTTCATTAAAGCTACACAGATCCTACTCGTATTTACATCCGATGCTTCAACAATCGTTTCTTTTTGAATTAACCGTATCTCCTCTGCACCATTCTTCCTAGATACTGATAAATTACCTCGGATTATGTCACAAAAAAACGCTGGTATAAAAGCATTGAACATCAAATTCCCAAACAGTATTTTCGCAAAAATGTGCTTCAAGTGGGGTGTTCTCCTTGTTTTATTGGTGTGTGCTTCTGTTGATGCTCAGCAACCCCCTGAAGCGAGTCAACCTGCTCCAGGAGGTACACCAGCGGGTGGTGGACAAGGCGGAGACAGAGGTAAGTGGATCAGGATTTTGACTCTTCTTCTGCAAAAAACTACACTGATCAACAGCCAAAAAATATCCTAAATAAAATCAACAAAATATTACTATTTTTAATGTGCTAAAACCGGAATGAAACTTATTTTTTCAATATTAGTTCAAGTTTTAGAGATACGGTAATTATATGTGTTCCTGCTGTGACAGTGTTAATATACTGTAATTCACAAGAATGCACGTGCTACATTTTTATATTCGGCAAGGAAAGATGATGTAATCGGCATGATTGTGTTACGTTATACATACGTGTACATAATATTGTTTTATATTAGTCATTTTTTCCTCAGTTGGCTGACAGCGTTCATGCAAGATGTCTCGAAAATGTGTAAACAATCCAGATCAGTTTTGTTACGTGTGTGGTGATGTGACTTTTGCGTCTCAGAGACGGTCTATTACTCCACTAATAACAAAGGCATATCACCTTTATTTCGGTTGTAAACTAGGTGATCAAGACAAACAGTGGGCACCCCACATCTGCTGTAATACATGTGCTTCAAGTCTGAGGAGCTGGTTAAATGGCAAAAAACGGTCTGCCACCAACCGCACAAAATAACACAGTCAGAATTAAATGATCTTGTAAGAGGTTTAGAACTTCCAAAATGTAAGGCAGAGTTACTTGGATCAAGACTGCAGCAGTGGAAATTGTTAGAAGACGATGCTTCGGTATGTGTTTTTCGTAAACGCCACAAAGACTTAGAACCATTTTTCAATATGGAGAATAACTTGGTTTTCTGCAGTAACATTAACGGCTTACTGGCGGCTTTAAATATGAACTATAACCCAGAAGAATGGAGATTGTTTATAGACAGTTCAACATTGAGTTTAAAGGCAGTGTTATTGCATATTGGAAATATTTTACCATCTCTTCCTGTAGGGTATGCAGTTCACATGAAAGAATCATATGACAATATGAAGTACCTATTGACATGCATAAAATACGATGAGCACCAATGGCATATTTGTGGCGATTTGAAAGTTGTTGCACTTTTGCTTGGGCTGCAGCTAGGCTACACAAAGTTTTGCTGTTTTTTGTGTGAATGGGACAGTAGGGCAAAGGCACTTCATTACACCAGACAAAACTGGCCTGTTCGTCAATTCCTAGAGCCAGGTCAAAAAATGTACAGCATATGCCATTAGTAGATTCGAAAAAAATTTTATTACCACCACTGAATATCAAGTTGGGCCTAATGAAAAACTTTGTCAAGGCATTAGATAGAGATGGGTCAGCTTTTCAATACCTGCGTCAGAAATTTCCAAGATTAAGTGAGGCAAAGGTTAAAGAAGGTATTTTTGTTGGGCCACAGATTCGAAATATTTTGAAAGATACACAGTTTGAAAACACTTTAGCAGGTATTGAAAAAACTGCTTGGAATGATTTCCGTCTGGTGGTCACTAATTTCTTGGGAAATAGAAAAGCTGACAACTATAAAACCCTTGTCAAAAATATGCTGCCATGGTATCAAAAGATGGGCTGTAATATGTCTCTCAAGATACATTTCCTACACTCACACCTGGACTTTTTTCCTGACAATTGCGGAGCCGTAAGTGATGAACACGGCGAACGTTTTCATCAGGATATTTCAACAATGGAAAAAAGGTACCAGGGAAAGTGGAATCCTTCCATGCTTGCAGACTACTGTTGGACTCTTGGTAGAGATGCTCCAGAAACGATCCATAAAAGAACAGCAAAAAGACAGCGCATATAGTGATTCTTATAAGTATATGAATCTTGTTACTTTTTTTAATATATCCTTATAAATAAAAAGTTTTTTTTCTAAACCGCAACTAATTTTTTTTATTTCATTGTCATTTTTGGATTCAGCGCCCCAAAATTAACAAAGAAGTGCACTTTTCCCACAAGATACAATTAAAAAGCTAAAATTTGTTGTCCAGTGTTATGAAGATGTCAGCTGTGAAAGGAACCGGTGGACGTTCAGTAAGCTGTGAAAGCCTTATAGATTCTGGTGTACCACAGGGGTGTATTCTTGGCCACTCCTGTTTGTCTGGTACATTTCCGATCTAGATGGATCGGTGAAGCATTGCAATGTACAATTTTTTGCTGTTGATACTCAGCTTTATCACCTCTTTGTCTGCGATTATGTTCGCCAAGCTCATCAGGAGCTCAATGAAGATTTAAAATCCATAGATAGTTATGCTAGTCAACATAATTTACAACTTAATCCTGCTAAATCAATTGCGATAGTTTTTGCCCTCCAAAGAAATAAGGCATAAGGTGAAAGAAAATTTGATATCTTTAAATGGGCAGGACATACCGATTGGGAAATCAGCAAGAGATTTAGACGTACTTTTTGAGAACCAGAAACTTTTTCGCCATGTAAATAACCTAAGCAAAAGTTGCTATGGAATTCTCAGATGTTTGTATGCTAATAAACAGATAATTTTACTGCCTTTTACTATACTTGCCTTTCTTAGACTATGAAACTGTAAGAAAACTCCAAAAAATCCAAAACACCTGCTGATTGACGCAGATTCTCAGAGTACGACAGTGCTAGTTTCTAAGAACTAGGATGGCTTAATACGAGACAATTGCATGTTTTCAGCATGCTCACATATATTTTCAGAGAGAAACTGATTTCGCGCAGATATATACATCCCCCAAGTATAACATAATATAATAACACCTTAACAATGCCACAACAGGACTGCTTTCTTTCTGAATAGTTTTAGATACTATGCAAGTCGTATAAGTCTCTGCCAGATAGCTATAAGTCTCTGTTAGGTGATAAATTTAAACTAGATGTTGAAGTGTATAGAGGGTGGCGCATCGAAAACGAAACAGACGCATTTACTGGCAGCTCAGTTCTTTCTGGAAAAACGCTCAGACCCGTCGGTTTTGTTTTCGAGGGGGACACAATTCTGGCAAAAAATCACGTTAACACGTGCAGCCCCCTGGGTGGGGGTGACACCAACCCTAAAATCTTAAATAGAAAGGGGGGTCGAGTAATGCCTTATTTTAAAGGTCTTTCAATTCCCTTTATAATGATGTAAAATACATGAGCTTCAGTTCAGTAGTTTTGAAGACTTATTGATTTAAAGCTTAAAGTAGACTTTAATAGGTACATCACATTGGTTTGTACTACTTTCAGAAGAAATTTGACTAAAAGAATTTACTTAATAAGTAAATGCTTTTCTTCACTACGCCCATGGTTTGTTTATCATTTTGTTGTTGAAAATAGCTATTGGAGCGTTTTTTTGTGGCAAAAAGTTATTTCTTGAAGAAAGATAAGGAAATATCTCGTACTTATTTTAAATAGGAATTTAGTAGATAGTTTGCGATTGATTTGACCAAACTTTGTTGCTAAAATAACTTGTAACGCTTTGTTACATAAATTAACCCTGGTATATTCCACAGCAGAAACAGTTGAAATTATCGAAATATTTTTCGGAAATAATCAGTGTGCTATTAATATAATTTATTTATATTATATATATTATTTATATAATAATAATATAATATTAATAGAACAGCAGAAATATTTAATGAGCGACATAAGAACAGTAACGTGCACCGAAAATATGTTCTAGAACTCGTAGCTAAATTTTGGGAAACTGGGTCAGTCGCCAATAAAAAACGCAACATTGAAAATCCCATAAGGAACGAAGCAATGGAAGTCGGGGTTTTAGGGCAAGTTTATGTAGATCCTACGTTAAGTACCCGCAAATTGGAGACTGCGTGTGGTGTTAGTCGACGTACTGTCCAACGGATTCTAAAGGGCCATAGTTTTCATCCGTATAAAATTCACCTGGTACAAGAACTTAATGAAGACGATTTTGATCGGCGATTACAATTTTGTGAAGATATGAGTGAACGAATTTATAAACGATGAACATTTTCTATTCAACACTTGTTTTTCCGGCGAATGTTCCTTTTTCTTACATGGCGTAGTAAATCGTCATAACTTCCGATACTGGTATGATTCTAATCCCAGAATTTATCATGAGGTTCATACACAGCAGCCACAAAAATTAAATGTTTGGGCAGGTATTTTTGGCGATCATTTAGTTGGTCCTTTTTTCTTACCTGGAAATTTGACCGGTAAAATGTATTTGGAATTACTGGAAGACGCCATAGATCCTGCATTAACAGCCATAATTGAAAATCCGAATGTTCGGCGGTACATTGCGAATAGGTTGATGTTCCAACAGGATGGTGCTCCACCACATTACGCATTACGTGTTCGACAATATTTAAATCAGAAGTTTCCAGCTCGACGGATTGTTAGAAGAGGTTCCATTGAATGACCTCAAAATCGCCAGATTTATCACCTTTGGATTTCTTTATGTGGGGTCATCTAAAAAGCAAAATCTATGCTACTCAGTCTACATCATTAGAAGACCTGCGACAAAGAATTGTGAATGAGTGCCTTCAAATTACTCCTCAAATATTGCAAAATGTGGGGCAACGTTTTGAACAAAATCTTTATTATTGCATGGACAGTCATGGTGGCCATTTTCAACATTTACTTGCCTAACGGGTCAGTTCATTCTTCATTTTTAAATTGCTTTGCTGATAAATGTATTGATCTCCACTAATGATGATGTATTAGTTTTATTTAAGCTTTAAATCAATAAATCTTGAAAACTACAGAACTGAAGTACATTAATTTCATATCATTATAAAGGGAATTAGTGTCACCCCCGCTTAGGGGGCTGCACGTGCTAACGTGATTTTTTGCTTAACCGGTCTGAGCGTTTTTCCAAAAAAAAAACTGTGCTGCCCGTAAATGCGTTTGTTTCGTTTTAGAGGCGCCACCCTGTATATTGAGCCATGGAAATACTGACATAAATTAATACTCTCCTGTGGCGCATTCGTATTGTTTACATCTATATTTTATCCTGTTGGCGTCTCATTAATTTATGTATTTTATATCGTTGATGTCTTTTATTATGAATATTCCATATTTGATAAAGTTTGTGTGAAAAACAACTGTCTTTTAAAATGTTTTAACTCGATACTTTCTTAACTTGCCTTTTATTGTAACTGTTACACCGAAAGTTACCACTACGATCAGACACATTGTATACGTCGTTATTTTGACGTAAACTCCTTTGCAGTTTTTACAGAATGAACAGTTTCAAATTTAAATAATTGGTTTCGTTTCGATTCACACCATTTTTAAAAAATCTCTACAAAATGACTAGAGTTTTTTATTAGGAAACTCTTGTACATCAGATCACGGAGCTCATATTTCACCAGATATTCAGAAAGCTCCGATGTGAAAAAATTGTTACATAGGAGATTCCATCATAACAACGAAGATGTAAATCTTAAATTTCACTATTTTAAAAGAGTTAAGTGAAAAAATATCCTATGGCTAAACCCCGCCCCTATACAGGGTGTCCGCAAAGTTGGGGTTTTCCTTTACACGACGTGTAGATCTTGAAAACATAAGCAATTTTTCTTAGTACCATATACACCAATGTCTCAAGGGAACCGAGATAAAGGGCTCTGCAACATCAAAAATATCTGAATACCGTCCTGTAGCCGCGACATCACCGACTGGTACAAGGTCACTGTCTCAACCCGACGACAGAACTGGGTCGGGGTCAGTGTGTCAGGTCAGTATGCAACCTTCAACCGACGGTTACGGCCACGCGTGTAGAGGTAATCGCGTAGACGAGAATCCCTCAACAAGCACTAGAGACGTGGCTAGAGAAGTGCAAGTATCAAAAACTAAAGTGTGGCAAACGCTGCGTGAAGAGGGGCTGTATCCGTTTCACGTCCAACGTGTACAAGCCCCTCAACCTGACGATTTTCCAGCAAGAGTGCGGTTTTGTGAGTGGTTGTTGCATCAACATGACAATAATCCGGACTTTTTGAAGTGCATATTGGTGACAGACGAATATACGTTCACGCGTAATGGGGTGAATAACTTTCGCAACACTCATGTTTGGTCAGTAGAAAATCCGCACGCTGTCCGTCGGGCAGATTTGCAACAAACATTTTCGGTGAATGTTTGGGCTGGCATGGTGAACGGTATGCTCATTGGACCATTTATTCTCCCAAATCGATTGGACGGGATGCAATATCTAGACTTTTTACGCAACATTTTGCATTCCTTGTTTGCCTGCGTCTGCTCGGTAGCGCATCAGCTGATTTCATTCCTGTTAGAGCGGTATGATTTCGGGCAGAGACGTACTTAGCCCTTCTCGTCAACTGGAGAGTGAGTACTTTTTCCTTTATTTTTTTTTTACTTGGTCGCCCTCGTTTCACTACACATTACCTTTGTTATTTCAAGGGTAGTTGTTTCTGAAAAGGAAACCCCCAACTTTGCGGACACCCTGTATATGTATACCTATAATAAGTTATTATTAAACAGACTCAAAGACAAAATCAAATAATAAAGACGATAATAGAATTCCACATGTTAAAATCCGCAGTTTGGATTAAGCGGTCTTTTTATCTCAAAGGCAATCACGCATTTTGAAAAAAACAGATTTATTAGTTGAGAAGTGGAAAATGTATTTAGAAGATCAACAAAAAAGACACGTATTTAAGAATAACCCCAATTGTTTCTTACCTTAGCTTGAGTTTTGAAAACCAGGGCAAATAAACATTCGAACAACAAAAATGATGCTACTCGCAGCATTCAAACTTCCAAAGTTCAAAAAATGGATCGAACCGCTTTTTGTTTGTCTCATGATTCGTCAAAGACTTGATGTACGATTTTTATTAGTTGAGAAGTGTGGACTTCATTTATAAGATCAACAAAAAGGAGTAATATATGGATAAGAAAAACTACGATAGTTTCTTATTTAAGTATAGGCTTTGCATAAAAAATCCAACAACAAAGATGATCCTAGAATTACCATATACCTTTCATACTTTACAAAATGGATCAAGCGGTTTTTCCTTCGTCTCAAAAACGATCACGAAACTTCATAACCTTGAAAAACAATTTTTGTTAGATGAGAGATGGAGAATGTGTTTATACTCGTAAGAGCAACTATTTGCTCAAGGTTAGGTATTGTGAACCAGTGCAAAGAAATCCATCAACAAAGATGATCCTAGATTCTAGCTTTCAAAATTCAAAATAAAGTATCAAGCGGTTTTTCTTTTGTCTCAAAAACGGTCACGAAACGATTTTTGTTTGATGAGAAGTGGAGATTGTATTTCTCAGATCAACAAAAAAGAGAGTTATTCAAGAAAAAACCCATTTGTTTTGTTACCTTAGGTTGTATCTTGTAAATCATTTTTATATTTGGTCTAGGCCAAGGTCAAGGAGGCTTCGGAGGATTCGGCTTAGATGGTCCAGGTTTTTTCGGGGGTCCGAACGGAGGTCCAAATGGCACCGATATGATGTTGGTGTTTCCGATGTTCCCAAGAATCAACGGAGAAAATGGTGGAGGAGGAGCAAACGGCGGCAATGGAGTGGAAGGAGGAAACAACCAGTTCTTCAGGCCTTTTATGATGTCCTTCAGGCCTCCAAGCTTTGAGGTAATTATAACGGTAGCTGGATCTCTAATCTTCCAGACCGTCAACTGTTAAAAGAACCTTCGTCTTATTCACTTCGTCTCTGCTCCAGCACATCCTAAGAATATTCCCACTAGGTGATTTAGCAAAGACTTCCCAGAGAGCACACATACATCCAGTAGCTGTCTATTTGATATCCACGGTGGATATCCAGGATATTTACTGGGTAGACAGATACATCTAATGGATATCCAGATGTCCGCCTACATCCAAGAATCTGGATATTGCAATGCAGATGTTATGTATTTACTACATACATACATACTCGTAGATACATTAAATGGCTGCTTCAAATATATCCAAGCAAGCGAACCTGTCAAGTCCAATTTCAAAACGAAAAAGGGTAACTGAAACCTGAACAAAGCAAATTAACCATATTTTTATAATAAAATGTGTGTCACAAGTATTCACTCGTGTCAAGTCCTTTTCCACCATATTAAAAAGTTCATTCTTGTTTTTCTTGTTCTACTCGTATTCATATACAGGGTGTTTCAGTTTATTGTTGCATAACTTTAAGATTCGATAGAACCTTTAAAATTAATGCATGAAGTCTATATAAACATGGGTCGAAAAATGCGTGGCTTCCGAAATACAGGGTGTTTAAATTTACTTTCTAAAATAGTTTTTTTCAAATATTTCGAACAATATTTGATGTATAATAGTGAAAATTGGTATACAAGGATTCTTTGGTACGACAAAACGAACCATAGGCATGTTTTACTGTAGCCGCTAGAGGGCGCTCTCTACTGTACCTGTAGTGTATTAAAATGACCGAAAATTTTTTCTTAGTGCAATTTTTTGCTTTTTGAATAAAGAAACTGATTCTTCGCACTTTTCAACATAAAAAAGCTCTCTTGTGAATTTTCGCTGTAGTTAGCCGTTTTTGAGATATTTCGATTTTTAATGTTCGATGCATTTTTAATTATTTATGATAAAATAACGTTAAAAAGTCAGTATCTCGATAATTTTTAGAAGTAGGCTGTGCCTGCAAATATTTTTGAAATTGAATGCAGAATAAGGTTAAACGTCAATTAGTTGACAGTTAAAGTTTGGCAAACGGATCTGCAACAGCGAAAGGAATGCGACCGAAAATATTCGATATTGCCAAATTTAACTACAAAAAAGCAGTAATGAAGTAATTTCAATGATTTGAAAATCGATTTTTCACAATTCCAAAAAATAATAATTCAAAATACTGAGTATTTTAATGGGTTGTTAGCTCTATTTGTATTTAATAACTATTTTTTTACTACTGAATCGTATTATAAGTAAACATTTTTCCAAAGATCTTATCGACATCGGTTGAGCTGGCAACAACCACCCGAAAGGTATATTGGACACCGCCTGAACGAATCTGATTGGCGGATATCCTCACATGTTTTGTCGCCATGAGAAAATTCGACTCCCTATTGGGTAGCGTCCCAGACAATTTTTTGCTCCTTTCTTAGAATATCCATACTATTGAAAAGTCCAGTGGCGTAGGTTTTATCTCCGTTGATCGTGTATGAGTTTTACAACTATTATTGTAACTATTTATGGTTCTATTAAGTTTGTATGTTTAGTGCTGTTTGTTTTTGAATAGTTTAGTGTTTTGTTATTTGTTATTGTTATTCGTTTTAGTATTATTTTTTTAAAATGAACCAATTTACTCGCGGAAAGACGCTTCATAGCCAAACAAGAGAAGTGATTGCGAATGTTTATAGGTTTTTAATAATAATATGCAATGATTGTAGTTTTTGACGACTGAGTCTGAATATAAATAAAAAACAAGGAAATGCTAAACTAACATTCTGATGATTATTTATAGGGTTTGCGATGAGGAAGCGGCAAACAATTCCCTCAAGTTGCTGCTTAAACGTAAGCTTGATAGGGTGTCCCTTTATACCGGATTCGGAGTATCTTCTGTTAGGAAAATTCATAACGAAGATAAAGAAAGACTAGAAGACAATAAAATGTTATCCAGTCCCGGGAAAAAAAGACCGGGTCAGTCTCTTGTTGAGAAAGATGAAGATTTTGGTTTTCAGATTACTAGACATTTGATAAACAGATTTTATCTTGAATATACAGTTATCCCGACAACTAGGAAGTTATTACAAAAGTTGAGAGAAGACTCAAATTTCCCCTATTCTAGGGAAACACTCAGGAGTTTATTAAAATCAAATGGTTTTTTTTTTGGCGCAAATGACAAAATGTAAGAAAAGTTTTGATAGAGAGGCCTAATATATTGCAATGGAGGTACAAATACATCCGTGAGATACGTAGATATCGTGAAGAAGGGCACAATATTGTTTATTTGGACGAAACCTGGGTGGAAAATGACTTGACTTTCAAAAAATGCTGGCAGAGCGAAACTGTTTCTGGTGTAATAAGCAGTATAGGTTCTACTGGTAAGCAAAAATGCTATATATATCTTAAATTTAACTCTGATTTGTAACATATTATATAATCGTCTTGTATATTTTAGGTCGACTCATTATAGTGCATGCAGGTTCAGAAAATCGATTTGTTGACAATGCCTGTTTGATATTTAAGGCGGGATTAGCTACAGGCGACTACCACGGTCAGATGAATCGGGAAAATTTCTCACGCTGGCTCACCGAAAAACTCCTCCCGAATATACCTGCCAATTCGGTTATAGTATTTGACAATGCCCCATATCATTCCGTCCAGGAAGACAAAACCCCGACAAAATCATCTTCGAAAAAAGATATAATGGCCTGGTTGACAATGAAAGGTACTTATTACTCAAAACATGCATGTACATATCAAACTATACAATAAAATATTTTATAGGCATAAATCATGAGGCAACTGCCAGAAAATTTGACTTGTTCGATCTGGTCTTACTTCGTAAGTCCCCTGACAACCAAAAAAATTATGTAGTTGATCGGATCATAAGATCACATGGACATACTCCTCTAAGAACACCTCCTTATTTATGCGAGCTAAACCCAATAGAATTAGCTTGGGCAAAGCATAAATTTCATATAAGAAGCCGCAATACCACTGGAAACTTCAGTTTAACCGCACTGAAAGAAGTTACTCAGGAAGCGATGTCCTTAATATCCATTAATGATTGGCAGAAATTTTGTCAACATGCTAGGGACATTGAAGATAAATTTTGGGAAAATGATCAATTTATGGAGGAAATGGAACCAGTTATAATAACTATAGGGCAAGATGACGACAGCGAAACTGATGACGACAGTGACGATGATGATAATGATGAAGTTGACGAACACCAATGGTAATTCAATAGGTGAAATGTAATTTTGAAATGCTGTATAATGTAAGTATTATTCATTACAGAGGTTCTAAGTTAAACGGATATGAAATATGTTTAAAGTTCTTTGTTTCTATTTAAGCGACACCGATGCTCTAGAAATATCCACATCAACAGTCCAAAATTGCAACAATAGGAATCCAGAAAGATGCGGATTAAAAAAGAAAAATTAATTCTGGACATGTTTCGGCTTGTGGCACTTTTTAAAGTAAATGAGCATATTATAAGATCACGGATGTATAATATATATATATATATATATATATATATATATATATATATTCTCAAGTTAAAAAACCACGTTAAGTATCTATTTGTATTTGAAAAATATATTTTATTTACGGCTTTGACAAAAACGCTAGCTTGATTTTCAAATTAGGTTTTAAATCGCGCAGTTATCATGATTTTTTTAATTGTGGCAATTTTGGGAAGTGAGTAGACATTTTTCCGTTTGTTGAAGTGTAGAAACAAACTCGTGTTTTTTTACATGGTGTAGACTGTAGAGAACAGCTATTTTTGAGTTTACCCGAGACTTTATTTATTATTATGGACAATGCTCCATATCATTGTCGGCTTATTGAGATACTTCCCAAATTTAAAGTGAAACATAAACGTACCTATAGTTTACTAAATTTAAACCAGTTATGAAATAATCCCAAACTTTTATAAAATACCGCACGCCGCTGGCATTTTATGAATGAAACCAGCCATGTTTTGCTTTCCCCTCACCGATACCCCGATGTTGCAGATCCGTTTGCCAAACTATAGTTTTGTTGTCTGTTGAAACCTGAAACGTTTTTTTGCAATTGTGAATGCACGAAATTTAGTTTCTTTAACCTCGTTTTATTTTGTAAGTTTTATAAAAATGCCATTTTTATTCTCCAATCAGGAGGTAGCGGATATTCATTTTGTGTATGGCTTTGTAAATGGAAACGCAGCAGAAGCAGCCAGAGAATACGCACGAAGATTTCCAAACAGACGACATCCAGCTCGCTCAGTATTTGTAAGAGTGCATCGCCAAATAATTGAAAATGATTTTGGAAATCTCCAAAGGGATCAAAACATAAATGTTCGTCAGCGCAGATTTACTCGTATGATTCTGCGTGAGTTTGATAGAGATCCGACCACAAGCGTTAGGAGAGTTTCTGGTGCCTTGGGAATTTCAGCAAGCCATGTCCACCGTGTTCTTAGAAATGACCATAGAGTCCTTACCATTTGCAACCTGTGCAAGGACTACAGCCAGGGGACGGGGAACGAAGAATCACATTTTGTCAGTTGATTCTTGATAGAACTGATAATAATAGGGAGTTTTTAACTAACGTTTTATGGACCGATGAGTCATGCTTCACTAGACGTGGAGTGGTAAATTTTCATAATCAACATATTTGGTCTCATGAAAATCCGCATGAAGTTCGGGAAAGAAATTTTCAGCATGAATTTAGTGTGAACGTGTGGATTGGTATCTATCGTGATCGACTATTTGGACACTACCTTTTGCCTGCAAGGTTAAATGCTGCGACCTTCTTGGAATTTGCAAATATGTGGGATGATGTTATGTTAGATTTAAGAAGATTGGCCTGGTTCCAGCTTGATGGTTGTCCAGCTCATTATTCGAGAATAGTTAGCAACTGGCTGGACGAAAATTATCCAGAAAGATGGATCGGCCGTGGAGGACCAGTCGCCTGGCCTCCACGATCCCCTGACCTAAATCCGTTAGATTTCTTTGTGTGGGGATTTCTATAATAAAACGTGTACCAGACTCCCGTAATCACAAGAGATATGCTAATAGACAGAATCAGGAATGCAAGTGATGAAATAAGGCCTTATTTGAATAATGCTATACCACGTTCGATCATTCGTAGATGTGAATTGTGTATTGAACAATTGGGTTTACATTTCGAGCAACTACTTTAGATTTTGAATGTTTGTCCTAACTATCCAATAGCATTTTAGTTGTAAATAATTAATTTAACTTGTTAAAAATAATATTGGAAAATTAAACAAATTAATATTCTGTTTTTTTGTGTTTAGTTGGAGTTAGGAATTATTGCTGTGTTTAAAAACACAATCTAAACGATCATCTTAATTACTTGTAATGCCCAAATCGAAAATGTAAAAAAAAAATATTATTTTCCCATAATTAAAAATGCATCGAACCTTAAAAATCCAAATATCTCAAAAACGGCTAACTACATGTATAACGAAAACTCACAGGAGAGCTTTTTTATGTTGAAAAGTGCGAAGAATCAGTTTTTTTATTCAAAAAGCAAAAAATTGCAGTAAAAAAATTTTTTCGGTCATTTTAATACACTACAGGTACAGTAGAGAGCGCCCTCTAGCGGCGTAAAACTATGCCCATGGTTCGTTTTGTCGTAGTAAAAAACCCTTGTATACCAATTTTCACTGTTAAACATCAAATATTGTTCGAAATATTTAAAAAAAACACTATTTTAGAAAGTAAATTTAAACACCCTGTATTTCGGAAGCCACGCATTTTTCGACCTATGTATATAGAGACTTTATGCATTAATTTTAAAAGTTCTATCGAATCTTAAAGCCATGCAACAATAAACTGAAACACCCTGTATTTTCTGCGTCTCTTCATCACGAGCAGCTGCAGATGCCAGCTTCTTCTCCCTACAAATCCAACCTCCTATCATTCGATGTTTTTGAAGGTTGTTATCTTGTAAACACCTTACTCAATCGATATCTTCATAAGTCAGATAAATTGATATGAATAATATCACGAAACTTAACTTTTAGATTAAAAACAATGAACTACTTGGAGACACACATGATGCACGCTATGTGAGATACTCACAGACATGGTATATATACTAAGTGACATATAAATCTGAACACCCAGCTTAAATTGTTTTATTTTAATAAAATTTTGTATAAGTACTTAATGAAGCATAATAAGTATATGATAAAAATTTCAAAATGATTGCACTGCTTTAAAGCCCTTTGACCATTAATAATGTGTGGATGCACCCTGATGTGCTACGCATTCTCCAACGCGCCTAGGCATGCTTCTGATCAGGTGGTCAATGTCCTCCTGTGGTATCTCATTCCAGGCAACCACCAACTCCTCTCAAAGTGCTTCTAGAGTCTGAGGAGGACGTTGCAAATTGAGCAGTGTACTACCCATCATATCCCACACGTGCTCAATTGGAGATAAGACGGGAGATCTTAGTGGCCATGGTAACAATGTGACATCATTATCTTGAAAGAAGTCTATTGTGACTCTTCCAACATGTGGTCGGGCATTATCTTGTTGGAAAGTTGGATCTGCCAGGGTGTCAAGATAGGGTAAAAGATGGGGTTCTAGAACTTGGATATAACGCTGCGCGTTCATGTTACCTCTGATGAAGATTAAAGGTGACCTGGAACCATAAGCTATAGCACCCCAAACCATAACTCCAACAGTGTGATGAACATGTCTTTCAACAAAAAACTGTGGATTCCTCCTTTCACCACGTCGCCTTCTAACCCTGGCACGACCATCGTGCATGCCTAAACAAAATCGAGACTCGTCACCAAAGACAATACTGTTCCATTCCTGATCCCAGTGTGACCGTTGTCTGTAGCACTCAAGGCGATTACGTCGGTGTTCTCGGGTTAAAGGGAGGACCCAGTGTGGCGGGTATGAAAACAAGTCCAAACTTCTCATTCGTCGGTAAACATTTCGCATGCCAATAGGTCTTCCGTGTTCTGCAAACCATTCATTTGCAATGGACCTGGTAGTGGAGAAACGGTCCCTTAAGGCCAATAATCTTAGGCGGCGATCTTCACGGTCTGTTGTTCTACGGCGGCGTCCAGTGCCCCTTGCTCTTTGCGTACGGCCTTCTCGAAGCCATGCCTGACAACACCTAACCACAGTGTCTACACTTCTTTGCACTCTAACTGCAATTGCCCGAAAAGAAAGTCCAGCTTCCCGAAGTCCCACTATACGGCCCCTATCAAACTAACTAAGTTGACGAAATCATACAGGTCTCCGTACTCTAGGCATCGTAACCGATCGTAAAGGATGTCAAGAACCAAAATCCGCCAACGTTGATTCTTTACTGCGGCTGAAATATTCATTTTTAGAGCGTTAGTGAATTAAAAAAAAAGCAGTATAAAAACCGGAATGTCCAACTGATAAGGCTGAATATTTTTTCACTTGTTATTTACAGTAAGATAAATACATTCACCAACTTTTATTAAAATAAAACCATTTAAACTGGGTGTTCGGATTTATATGTCACTTAGTATAATAAAATGGAGACCGACAAGCAGGTCGGCTTGCCATTATACCACTGGTCGGTCGAACAGACGCACATGCGCGATAGGCCGAAAAATGCAACTGATGGATAACTGATGAAATGTGCTTAACACGTGCCAGGAATATACCTTTTTATTACCATGGTGAAATATTACTGTCACATGACAAGAAGATTTTGTATTGGCATGTCTTAAAAAGGAATATTGAAGTAGTCGCTTCTGAAGAGGAGAGTCTCAAGCTTCATGCATATCTGTATGCGTTTTTTTCTACTATTTACTTTTTCTGTCTACCTCACCTGTGAAAATGCTTACATATACAGTTAATTAATGGATGATTCTAATTTGAATTGTTCAGGGTTTCCGACCTGGAGGAGGTCCTCAATTCCCTGGTGCCGGAGGACCTGGAAGTCCCAACCAAACACCTGCTGGAGGCACTTCAGAGGGTGCTGCTGGTGGAGCAGCAGCACCTGAAGCTACGGAAGGAGCTACTACCGAGACTGAAGGAAGTGAAAGAAGGAGGAGACGGAGACATACCATAGGGTACGTTTAAAGTCTGATATCTGACTCCACTAATGGATACTATATTTCCTCTTACATACAGTTCGCAAACGTAAAAACAAAAAAATTTCGCTCCATAAGCAGGTGCCTATACCTTTGCGAACTTTTTTAGAACGTCACATACAAAGGTGAGGCGCTTTGTTTTGGCCCACGAAGGATCCGTCTCAAACACTATACAGGGTGTTAGGGAAACAATGTTGGTAACTTTAAGAGGTTTCAAATAAGTGACTGATAATCGTGGAAATTGGTGATGTGTATCGCCTCGTACCAGTAAATTCTGTCATTTTTTTAAAGTAAATGTACTGTACTGAAAGCGTTATTAAATAAAAAATATTATCCACAAAAAATTGCGTAAAAGTATTCAGTAACTCAAGGCATATTTTCAACAAAAATATGATACAAACGTAAACAATTCGATGAATTAGTTGCGGTCGTCGTGCGCTCGTATCGCGGTTGCGTTGCCAAATGTTTGAGAAACTTTAATTATCACTTTTTGGTTAAAAATAATCCAAGAAAAAATTAAAGTTACGAATATTATTTCCCTATACAACATTAGCCCCACAATATCTCAAGACTTTTTGATGGACTTAGAAATTACCTATACAGGGTGTTTCAGTTTATTGTTGCATAACTTTGAGATTCGATAGACCTTTTAAAATTAATGCATAAAGTCTATATAAACATGGGTCGAAAAATGCGTGGCTTCCGAAATACAGGGTGTTTAAATTTACTTTCTAAAATAGTTTTTTTTAAATATTTCGAACAATATTTGATGTATAACAGTGAAAATTGGTATACAAGGGTTTTTTGGTACGACAAAACGAACCATGGGCATAGTTTTACTGTAGCCGCTAGAGGGCGCTCTCTACTGTACCTGTAGTGTATTAAAATGATAGAAAAATTTTTCTTAGTGCAACTTTTTGCTTTTTGAATAAAAAACTGATTCTTCGCACTTTTCTACATAAAAAGGCTCTCTTGTGAGTTTTCGTTATAGTTAGCCGTTTTTGAGATATTTCGATTTTTAAGGTTCGATGCATTTTTAATTATTTATGGGAAAATAATATTTTTTTACATTTTCGATTTGGGCATTACAAATAATTAAGATGATCGTTTAGACTGTGTTTTTAAACACAGCAATAATTCCTACTCCAAATAAACACAAAAAAAAAACAGAATATTAATTTGTTTAATTTTCCAATATTATTTTTAACGAATTAAATTAATTATTTACAACTAAAATGCTATTGAATAGTTAGGACAAACATACAAAATCTAAAGTAGTTGCTCGAAATGTAAACCCAATTGTTCAATACACAATTCACATCTACGAATGATCGAACGTAGTATAGCATTATTCAAATAAGGCCTCATTTCATCACATGCATTCCTGATTCCGTCTATTAGCATATCTCTTGTGGTTACGGGAGTCTGGTACACTTTTTCTTTTAGAAATCCCCACACAAAGAAATCTAATGGATTTAAGTCAGGGGATCGTGGAGGCCAGGCGACTGGTCATAAAACGTTACTTAAAAACTCCCTATTATTATCAGTTCTATCAAGAATCCACTGACAAAATGTGATTCTTCGTTCTGCGTCCCCTGGCTGTAGTCCTTGCACAGGTTTCAAATGGTAAGGACGTCTATGGTCATTTCTAAGAACACGGTGAACATGGCTTGCTGAAATTCCCAAGGCACCAGAAACTCTCCTAACACTTGTGGTCGGATCTCTATCAAACTCACGCAGAATCATACGGGTAAATCTGCGCTGACGAACATTTATGTTTTGATCCCTTTGGAGATTTCCAAAACCATTTTCAATTATTTGGCGATGCACTCTTACAAATACTGAGCGAATTGGATGTCGTCTGTTAGGAAATCTTCGTGCGTATTCTCTGGCTGCTTCTGCTGCGTTTCCATTTACAAAGCCATACACAAAATGAATATCCGCTAACTCTTGATTGGAGAATATAAATGCCATTTTTATAAAACTTACAAAAAAAAAACAGGTAAAAGAAACTAAATTTCGTGCATTCACAATTGCAAAAACACGTTTCAGGTTTCAACAGACAACAAAACTAACTGTCAACTAATTTACGTTTAACCTTCTTCTGCTTTCAATTTCAAAAATATTTGCAGGCACAGCCTACTTCTAAAAATTATCGAGATACTGACTTTTTAACGTAATTTTATCATAAATAATTAAAAATGCATCGAACCTTAAAAATCGAAATATCTCAAAAACGGCTAACTATAACGAAAATTCACAAGAGAGCTTTTTTATGTTGAAAAGTGCGAAGAATTAGTTTTTTATTCAAAAAGCAAAAAATTGCACTAAGAAAAAATTTTCGGTCATTTTAATACACTACAGGTACAGTAGAGAGCGCCTTCTAGCGGCTACAGTAAAACTATGCCCATGGTTCGTTTTGTCGTACCGAAAAACCCTTGTATACCAATTTTCACTGTTATACATCAAATATTGTTCGAAATATTTAAAAAAATATATTTTAGAAAGTAAATTTAAACACCCTGTATTTCGGAAGCCACGCATTTTTCGATCCATGTTTATATAGACTTTATGCATTAATTTTAAAAGTTCTATCAAATCTTAAAGTTGTGCAACAATAAACTGAAGCACCCTGTATGTACCAATGGACAGAGTTCTATAATATTTGGGGTCCCCTCTTTTCCTTGATAAATCTAAAACGTAAACTCCGAATCTAACATCATTTCCTACACCCAAGTCACAACCATGACAATATTTTGAGGTATGGTGTGAAAATATTTTCGAAAAATATCAATGAATAGATTAATAAATTCGACGTTAATTTAATTTTAATTTACCATGAAGGCTCGATATACGAGGTCCGTAAATTAAGTGATGAGACTGGCAACGTAGCGTTCAATTTTTCAACACTGGAGATGTCGGGCTTGAAGAGGAGACAGAGGAATATGTGATCCGCCTTCAGTACAATTTTGAACTCGCTCGTGTCAGTTGGTTACGGGTAGCGATTTTTTTTTGTGGATGGTAGTGCACTCTACTAGTTCATTTTTGGAATTGCAAAGAATTTAAGTATATAAAAAACCTTTTGCTAATTTTTCAATTTGCCCCTGATTCTCTTTGGTCTGTGCTGCGACATCTTTTATCGATGACCCTCTATTTCAAACCTAAAATATTTCTTGTAAAAGGGTGAAACATTTAAACTGATTTACAGTTCGCCTTTTGCCGCTAGCATAATTAGACAAACATGAAAATAGGAGTTGAGTTGCGATTAGGAAATAGTTTTTTTTTTATTTTCTAATTGTTTAATATAATTGCCACGAGATTAATGATGTCATTTCAGTCATTTGACCTCACACTAAGAAAGACAGGGATACTTATTCTTAGGTGTTGAACCGTTTTAGTCTCAAGTCGAATGTGTTCCCTGTCAGGGTATCTTTACGATATTTCCAGTTTCCAGGTTCCAAAAAAGTTCCTCCACGATTCAAAAAGTTCCGCAAATCGAAACTTATTCAGCCGATTTGCAACACTGCGTTGTCGATGACTGCTACAAAGTAAGATTATGTTTCTGTAACTCTTGGCGCCACATATTGTGTGTAACAAGCGAGCGTCACCCCTGGTGCAAGAGAACAAAGAACTGAAACACTCCTGACAGCAATGTAATATAATAGATGGCACCATCCGGCGCATAGCTACACTTGCACTGTATTTTACATACAGAGTGGCGCATCGAAAACGAAACACGCATTTACTGGCAGCTCAGTTTTTTTTTTGGAAAACGCTCAGACCCGTCGATTTTGTTTTCGAGGGGGACACAAGTTTGGCAAAAAATCACGTTAGCACGTTCAGCCCTCTAAGCGGAGGTGACACGACCCCCAAAATCTTAAATGGAAAGGGGGGTCGAGTGATACCTTATTTTAAAGATCTTTCAATTCCCTTTATAGTGATATAAAATTAATGTACTTCAGTTCAGTAGTTTTGCAGATTTATTGATTTAAAGCTTAGATAAAACTAATACATCAACATTAGTGAAGATCAATACATTTGGCAGCAAAGTAATTTAAAAATGAAGAATGAACTGACCCGTTAGGCAAGTAAATGTTGAAAATGGCCACCATGACTCTCCATGCAATAATAAAGATTTTGCTCAAAACGTTGCCGCATATTTTGCAATATTTGAGGAGTAATTTGAAGGCACTCATTCACAATTCTTTGTCGCAGATCTTCTAATAGATTTTGCTTTTTAAATGACCCCACATAAATAAATCCAAAGGTGATAAATCTGGCGATCTTGGGGGCCATTCAATGGCACCTCATCTACCAATCCATCGGTCTGGAAACGTCTGATCTAAATATTGTCGAACACGTAATGCGTAATGTGGTGGGGCACCATCCTGTTGGAACATCAACCTATTCGCAATGTACCGCCGATCATTCTGATTTTATAATAATATAATAATAATAATATACGCCTTTATTACAAAAAATATGTATATGGTACATACTGAAAGTGGGACTCAACTGGCGAAGTTTAGCAATGCTACTCTTACACTTAACCAGCTGAATCAATAATACAGTGATGTTAAATAAATTAAAAACATATATATATACATATATATATACACACAGATATATACACACATATATATACACGTATATACATATACACACACATATACACATACCCATATATACACATATATCATGCGCCTAAAAATAATATTAGCTTCTCAACGTAATAAATATAAAGTCTGATTGGATGATGAATGTGGAAAGGATAGTATCAGTCAAGCAGCCTGATCCTTACATGCTTACGAAAACTTGCTAAGCTCATACATTTAAAGGAATATTCCAACGAATTATATAGAACTGCCGAATTATAAGAAAAACTGCGGGTGAATAAGACTGTAGAGTGAGGCGGAATTCTGATACTCAACCTATCTCTAAGCAACCGATCATGAACAACAAAGTTAAAGTAGGCGGGCTTTGAAGTGGTTATTACTTTGTGAATAAATACTAGATGGTGATATTCGACCAATTTATCAAATTTGAGCCATTTCAGCGTCCTGTATTTCTCTGATACATGGTCAAATTTTCTCAATCCACATATAAAACGTACACAATTATTCTGTATAATTTGAATTCTGTTTTTTGTTACTTTGTCAAGGCATGGGAAATAAAGGATGTTACAGTAGTTCAAACAAGACATCACTAGCGTTTCACACAGTTTTTTACTGAGCTTATAGTTCAGTAAGTACCTATAAGGGTCAAAGTGCGTAGGCGGAGGTAGGTTTTTTGAGCGAGACAGTTGATATGATTATAAAACCTTGACTTCTCATCGACCTCGACACCTAAAATCTTGGCAGTAGTACCAACCTGAAGAAGATTTCTGTCAATAAAGATATTAAGGTTACCTTTGACGTAGTTTCTTTTATTATCAGAACAGAAAAAGCTATGATTTTTGACTTCTCAGGATTAACTAATAAATTATGATCGGCTGAATATTTACAAACCATGTCAATATCATGTTGTAGCTCTATATTGGCTGTTGGTAATTCACTAGCTTTAAAATAATGTACTATTTGGGTATCGTCTGCAAAAGATTGCATTTCAGAATTTTCCATTACTGCATATAGATCGAAGGTGTAGATGAGGAATAAGAGAGGACCTAGGATAGAACCCTGAGGCACTCCAGATGGTATGACACTTGGGACAGAGCCCTGTCTAGATAGAGAAACTTCCTGAACTCGGTCGGTTAAATACGCACAGAAAAATTTAAGTGAGGTATTATCAAAGCCAATATATTTCAATATAGCTAGAAGAAGGATATGATTGATTCTATCAAATGCCTTAGAGTAATCAACCGATATCAAAGCTACTGTGATCTTTTTATCAAGCGCATGTAGCACATTGTCGCATAGATTTAATAAGGCAGCTGTTGTACTATAGTGTTTTCTGAAACCAGACTGATTAGTGGATAAGATTTTGCATTCTTCAATGTAAGCAGTTATTTGAATGTGAACGATCTTTTCTAAGATTTTTGATAACACCGGCAATAAACTTATTGGTCGTAAATCTGAAAGCTGGGTTGGTTTGATAATTTTAGGGATAGGAATAACTAAGGCATGTTTCCACAGAGTGGGAAAGTAGCCTTTCTCAATACATGAATTGATTAGATGTACAATATGAGCAAACGTTATAGGCAAACTGACTTTAATCATGGTTAAAGATAAGGTATCGATGCCCTTAGCATCCGACTTTAAGCTTTTTATTCCCTGAAATACCTCAAAAGGTTCGGCAATTCTTAGAGAAAAGTTATTGTTTGGGTGAAACTTATTTCGATTATAAAATTGAATTACATCTTCGGAAATATTATTAGCACAGTACACGCTTATAAAGTAGTCATTAATCGCATCGGGATCACTAAAATTTGACGGTATAGCTGTTAATGCAGGATCTATGGCGTCTTCCAGTAATTCCAAATACATTTCACCGGTCAAATTTCCAGGTAAGAAAAAAGGACCAACTAAATGATCGCCAAAAATACCTGCCCAAAGACTTAATTTTTGTGGCTGCTATGTATGAACCTCATGATAAATTCTGGGATTAGAATCGGACCAATATCGGCAGTTATGACGATTTACTACGCCATTTAATAAAAAGGAAAAGAAAATGTTGAATAGAAAGTATTCATCGTTTGTAATGCGTTCACTCATTTTTTTTTTGTTCTGTTATTGGCACTGGTCGATGACAGATCGTTATGTTCATTATAATGCTATGCTTTAATAGAAAATAGAACATCCATTACTTAATATTACTATTGTATATTATTTCTATTATAGTTACATAGAGTATGCAAACACATATTTCTCTTTTTTTTGTAAACAATACTTTTTGCTTATTTTTTCCTTTTCTCTATTTTGTTTCTAAGATTGTTTTTTTGTTATGTTTGTACTGATCTGCTTTTTTTGTTTTTTTTTTTCAATATTTTCTTCTTTTTGTCATTTTTTCAAACAAACTTACTGTAATTTACATTTTATAATGTTAGGCCTACTTTCCGACAATGCTTGTATAAAAGTTCGTAAACTTGCTGGTTCTCAGAACTGAGAATTGATTCTAAATTTAGAGGCAAAGGAAGGTGATTCGCTAAAATTTTATACAATTCAGAATTGTAATCGCCGATCAAAATCGTCTTCATTAAGTTCTTGTACCAGGTGAATTTTATACGGATGAAAACGATGGGCCTTTAGAATCCGTTGGACAGTACGTCGACTAACACCACACACAGTCTCCAATTTACGGGTACTTAACGTAAGATCTACATAAACTTGCCCAAAAACCCCCACTTCTATTGCTTGGTTCCTTATGGGATCTTCAATGTTGCGTTTTTTATTGGCGACTGACCCAGTTTCCCGAGATTTAGCTACAAGTTCTAGAACATATTTTCGATGCACGTTACTGTTCTCAAGTCGCTCATTAAATATTTCTGCTGTTCTATTAGTGCACTGATTATTTCCGAAAAATATTTCGATAATTTCAAGTATTTCTGCTGTGGAATATACCATGGTTAATTTATGTAATAAAGCGTCACAAGTTATTTTAGCAACAAAGTCAAATCAATCGCAATCTATGTACTAAATTCCTATTTAAAATAAGTACGAGATATGTCCTTATCTTTCTTCAAGAAATAACTTTGTTGCCACAAAAAAACGCTCCAATAGCTATTTTCAACAACAAAATGATAAACAAACCATGGGCGTAGTGAATAAAAACATTTGCAGCAGCAGCTGCAAAAGGAATTGACACCATCTCACTAACCATGGTCAAAGTAAGTCTTCCCGTAACTTTTTTCCATATCACCCACATAATAAATTCATGTTTGGAAAATGGCTACCACCCTAAGCTGTGGAAGCTGGCTCTAATTATACCTGTCCCTAAAATATCTAAACCTACTTAACTTAAACATCTTAGACCCATTAGTTTGTTGCCGGTACCATCGAAAATTTTGGAAAAAAATATACAGCAACAAGTTGTCCATTACATAGAGGAACTAAAAATAATATCGTCATGTCAATCGGGCTTCAGGAAGCACCATAGTACAACTTCGGCACTGTTAGATCTTTGTGATAATGTTATTAGGACAGTTGACAAAAAGTTAGCAACAGCAGTGGTATCAGTTGACTATTCCAAAGCATTCGATCGAATAAATCATAAACTTTTGTGCGCCAAGCTGAGGTATATAGGCTTCGATGATGCTGCTGTCAGTTTTTTCCGTAGCTATTTGTCCGATCGGACGCAATGTGTCGCAATCAATAACGATCAATCCAATATTACGACTGTTCCGTCAGGAGTTCCGCAAGGCTCAATTTTGGGACCTGTGCTCTTTTTGATTTACACGTGTGACCTGCATAAAGCTGTTGACAATTCAGGGATACAAACATTTGCTGACGATACTCAAATAATATTCCATTTCGACGCCTCAGATACGCACAATTCATCAGTCATTTTACAGCTTGATTTAGATAAGGTACATGAGTTTTCTATGGAACATAATCTTACTATTAATCTAGATAAGACCCAAGTGTTATTGTTTTGTTCTGATCAGAAGAGGAAAACTGTCGAAGATTCTTTCCATCTGACTATTGATGGCATAACATTACAGCATACTCAAACAGCTGAGGTACTAGGAGTGGAAATTGACACAAAATTAAGATTCCGCAGCCAAATAGCTAATTTGATGAAAAAACTTACCTGTGTTCTAGGGCTCTTTATTCCAATCGCTACTTGCTTAACTTTAAGCTGAGAAAAAGACTGTGCGAATCTTTGGTGATGTAAATGCTCAGTTACTGTGATGTCGTTTATTATCCATGTTTGGATCAATTGACCAAAAATCGTCTTCAAATCATCTAAAATAACTGTGTTCGCTTCATTTATGGGTTGCGTAAATACGATCACGTAAGTGACAAATATAGGGAATTCAACTGGCTTAGGTTAGGAAGTTTGGTTAAACATAAATTCTTAGTTTTAGTTCATAAAATAATATTGTCAACAAAGCCTGAATATCTAAAAGCTAAGTTAAGATTTAATTACGAAGTGCATGACAGGGCTGTTAGGAATCGTTATCGTATCAGAACCACCCCACACACTTCTGCATTATTCCAACGAGGATTCTCATATAATGCAGCACTATTTTATAATCAGTTGGACAACAGTATTAAATTGATGTCTTTGGAAAGTTTTCGTAAACATACTAAAAGCATGTTGCTCGCTATTGATTAAATACGCATTTCTGCTACAGATGTAGATTGTGTCTATTTGTATTTTATACTTAGGTATATATGTGTTCTTTTTTCATTGTTCTTATATATATATATATATATATATATATATATATATATATATATATATATATATGTATATTTCCATGTTTTGAACATCAGATATAACCGACATAAATAGTTAAGTCTAAGAGTAGCCTTGGCTAAACTTCGCTGTTTATGTCCCTCCGGGTTATCCAATAAAGACGTTATTATTATTATTATTTACTTATTAAGTAAATTCTTTTAGTCAAATTTCTTCTGAAAGTAGTACAAACTAATCTGATGTACCTATTAAAGTCTACTTTAAGCTTTAAATCAATAAATCTTCAAATCGTCCACCGTAAATCTTCAAAGCAACTGCTGTTTTGTTATTAACATTAATAACAATAATAAAATCTAGTTATGTTTACGTATTTTGTTATCAGAGTATATCGCTTCAATTGCTACAATATATCATGTTGTTGTTATTTTGGTAGGAAAAAAATGACTAGGAGCGAACTGCAATCGCGTGCCGAAAAGTATCTATTTTCGCACTTGTTACGAAAGTATCTATTTACTTGATGTAGTGCAATTTGGAGCTGGCAATTTTAATATTAACATTGTCTTCCGAACAGATGTGCTGAATGTGGAGGAGGTGGCACTTACGTCTACTCAGTAGTTCCAGCAGTTGGCTATGGTAGAGGATACGGCTATGGAGGAGGTGCTACTGGAGGAACTTGGACGCATACCTCAGAGGTACATTCGAGCTCCGGTCAGACCTACAATAGCGGCTAGTAAGTTTATCTCGTTGTAGGCTCGAATGGATCAGACAGTAAAAAATATTTTTTTCACATTTATGTTGACCGTACATAAGGTGTTAGGTAATAGAATGTCAATATCTAAGAGGGCGATTTTTGAGTACATTTTTTGGAAGAAAACATAAACCAACTAGGTAACAATCATCACTCCTATTAGAGTTGCAAGAATGATTATACAGTATTCCTTAAACAGCCTTGTATACTGTAACAACATTGGCAAAACCCTCTTAGAACAGCTATACAAGCGGAATGGGCACACCTACTAGGACACTTCAGTCATTTAAGAGGTTAAATAAGGGCTGCAGGTAACAGTTATAAAACAAAAGTGTAAGCCTCTTGCAGCCGTATAGGACATTTGCGTCAGTGCAAGATTCAGTTTTTGTCAACTATACAACTATTCTTTTACGTGATTCTACTTTATTGCAACCAAACTATTTCTTATGTATTGTATAGACGAAGTGAAGAATATATAACATTACACATTACAGTCATCTTGTTTACTTATCCTGTTAAGTGGCCCAGGATAAACAACCATAGGCTTTTCTAGATGGCCCGTAATTTTATCGCATGCGGACATATCCGTCATCAGCACTGACTATATTCACTAGCGTATATATACGTCAATAGCATTAAAATTCGACAATAAAACTGAAAGGCGTATATTATCGTCAAAACAACATAAAAATATTGAACTGGTATCTAAAGAAAAGTAAAGGTGAAGGCTAACTTATAACATTGCATTGAAGGTGCACCAGTTTTCTCATTCCATCCTTCATACCTAGTAAGAAGAGTTGCTGTTAAAATGATAGATAAAGAATAAATTAAAACTTACTTATTTTTTTAGCTTTTTTGCTACTTGGTATGAAAAATCTCAAAACACGGTGCGGGACACATGGCATTTTTGGCACCAGTAACGGCTTTCCTTTCTGATTTTCTTTTCAGCACATATTGCACACCTAAAAAACTGATTTAAAAAAAATGGCTTCTGTGATACAATAGCTTACCTTTTTGTTGGTTTTTGTTTCGTAGTAGGTGGTATAACCGACGGAAAGTGACGTTCAATAAATCTTGATGGCATTGGTGTCCTTGATCTCCTTGTTCCGAAAGTTATTTGTGAGCTATATTTTCTAACTATTTGTTCTCCCAATTCTAACAAGAAATTTATCCTTTTCAGTCGGCCTCCATTTCGTTTGTATATATGAAATGAGTTTAGCGTTGTTACACTCAAAAAGTGTCAGAACATTTTCATGTAGTATTTTTTTACTCTACTCCTTGCCGTTCCATAGTAGTGCAAATAATTATCGGCTAATTCCACCCCGCCCATTTTTTTATTGTACTCTAGTACACAAGTGGGTTTCTCAATTTCACCCTTTTTAGTCAAGACCTTTTCCATAGTTTTATCGTGAAGGGTAGTTATCATTAACACATCCTTCTTGTCATGCCATGTTTGTATCATAATTTTTCTATTGTATCTAGCAACAGACTGTCCTTTAGATAATTTCACTTGTAAATCTTTAGGGATACCTTTTCTGTTTGCTCGAATTGTTCCCACACAGTCTGTTCTTTGTTTTACTAATTTGTGAACCAAGTCAACACTTGTGTAGTAATTGTCTAGAAAAAATCGATACCCTTTGTCAAGTAGCGAATCAACAAGGGATAAAACTATCCTTGATGTAACTGGTTCCTGAGAATGCTGTGCTTCATAAATCGTATCAGCACCTGTATAGAGGATAAAATTATACATATAACCAGAAGTTTCACATAAAGCGAATAGTTTGATGCCAAACCTCTTTCGTTTAGAAGGTATGTATTGTTTCCAGCCCAATCTCCCTTTCCAGCCAATCAGAGACTCGTCTATCGCGATGTCCCTTTCTGGCACATAACTGGTCATAAATTTCTCCCTTAAATGGTTTAGAAGTGGAAGTACTTTGGCAAGTTTGCGATTTTTTGTGTTGGCATTTATTGTTGAATTATCAACAAAATGCAAAAATTTCAATAACAAGTGAAATCTTTTCTCGGAAATAATTTTCGAAAAAATTGAGTTTCTATGCTCTCTCTCCGAGAGAAATACATTTTGTATTCAGGCTTAGGACATAATCCCTGTAATATCAATAGGCCTATAAGCGTCCTAATTTCGTTGGTATTCGTTTCTTTCCATTGGCGTACTCTGTCTTATGTTTTCTCCATTTTTTATAATATATTGGATAGCAAATCGATTGGTTTCTTCAACTATAAGGTTTATTAGACTTTCATCAAAAAAAATTTCAAAAATGTCCAAAGGGTTGCTTTTAGCAGGTACCTGCACGCCACTGTTCGATGTAAAAGGAAATGCTGGTCTAGGGATTCCATTTTGGGTCCAGGGCATTTCAAAGTCAGGTTCGGGCTCAGGCTCCGTCTCATCATTAGTATCTTCTCCACTTTCCTCATATTCCGATTCGCCCTCTGTCTCGTCCGAACTTGTATAACCATCCACCTCGTCCGCCTCGTCGCCACTAATATCAATATCCTCAGAGTCATTGTCTTCTAAATTAGACATTTTGTATATATATTCAAGAACACTTCCTTTTCCTGCACAAACGTTGTGGAATACTAAACGTAATAATGTCGTAATCAGCCACACGGTAACACGCCCAAATAACGACTGAGCGGGAAGAGATTCCACAAAATAATTCCGCCGCATAGTTGGATTAGGATTTTGTTTACCAGTAAACTACAGCAGGCGAACGTATACGTCTTAACCATTGCGGGCTACCAAAAAATAGCCGAAGCGAGAATATCCGTCATAAGCATTGATTGTAATATATAGCTTTGCTGATATATACGTCTTAACCACTTAACAGGTTATATATCGGCCATTGTGAGTTTCATACTCAGGTATATGATAAACTTCTACGCTGTAATATAGGGCTATTGAACTACTTGCGCAGCAAATTTTATTGTGATTATCATGCAGATTAGTTACCCAATTTATACGGGCTTCGTATTTGATTCATATTTTGACAATGATCAAAAGTATGTCTAGATTTTTAAGATGGAAAACTGAACTTATCTGCGTTAAATCTTCCACAAATCCTATATTTAGACACAATTACACTAATGTTTATCACTTTATATCTGTAATTTCGAACTGAAACATAATTTATCAAATAGAGGAATAAATGTTTGCCCAATATGGCGGGTGGTTGTGTACAATCATCGTCCATGTTGTCTTTAGGTTATTAGAATATTTTGGTGTTGCCTGCAGGTGTTATACAACGATTTGACAAATGTCTGAAATGAAATACCGACAGAGTCGAATGATTTACCCAGAATTTGTACCAGATCTATATCTTCTGTTTGAACAGTTGATAAAACCATTTTGAACCAATATGCATGCGTTGTTTGTCTTAAGACATTGATTATGGCATTTTACAAAAATATGACAGCAGAAAGTTAGGTTATGGTGGAGTTGTTTACCAACATATTTAGCATATGTACCGCCTTAAACAGTTACTAAACAACAGTTGTATAAGTGCTTCCGTTGGGAGCAATTTGTTGGCTAATGCCCGGATCGTCAGTCGTTCCTACAATTGTAGGGTGCGTTTATGGCCTCCTTGATTGTCATACTCCTTTCTCCCCTTCAAAAATTTCTAGATTGTACCTGTCCCGTGTCAGCGTCAGCGCTCTCCTATTGTAAGGATATATTTTCTTTTTAAATTGTCGGAAATTTCTGGCTGATAAAACATGATATAACTCAAAAGCAATCACAATTTGATGCAAATAGATATTTGTGACACAACCTCAAAATCGAGCGCTGACACTGAAAAGTAGAAAACTATGACAATCAAGGAGGCCATAGAGGCGCCCTACAATTGTAGGGACGACTGACGATACGGACCTAAAGTAGTAAATTGCACAGCAAAACAACAAGGCTCGGGTTTGTTTTATAAACGTATTATGAGTGCCACAACACAACCATTTTGACTAACGTGCAAATATGCCGTATAAAATAGTTGTATAAACGTTTAAGCAACAGTTAAAAATTTGCCCTATAACGTGTTGTATAACTATGCTATAAGAATATTTTAAACACTTCATTTTAGAGCAAATATGTTGCAGAAAGCAAATCTGCATTCCACACAACATTAAGCCAGCATTTTGGTGTTCAGGCAACAACAATAGAGAGCTTTTATGGCTGAACGGTTCTTTTACCAAAAGCTTATACCACTACTTTGCTAGTTGGGAATGGCCTTAACCGTAGCGAAGTTTTCATCTAGAAAGTCAGTGGCACGCCACTGCTTTTCTTAATATAAAAAAAATTGAAATCTGTATTCATGTATGAACAGATTTGAAATCTTGAACCTTTTTAATTCAAAGCACGGTTTCTCCTAAATTAAAGCTATTCCTCTCCATGGTTATGTCTTATTACCGATATTGTTATGATTATGCAGTGAAACGGTTTTTATTAAGCAAAAGCCGTACATTTGATTGAAATAAGCAACGGCTCAAATTTGCTTAGACATTGCTGGAGATGTCGAGAATGGTTTTAATTCAAGAGAAATCAGGGGCGTACCATCAATGTCTGGCAAAATAGGCAGGTTAAACTCCGTTCGAACGCCACTGGGAGAAATTAAAAAAATTGTGTTACATAAAAAAATGTCTCTGGTACATACAACATGTATGCCAAATTCAATTAAAATAACTAAAGTCGTATTAGAGATCTTAATAAATGATTTATTTTCGAATACCCGTATCTTGGAAGTTAACACTATTCAGGGTGTCCCGTAAAAAGTGTGCAATATTCTACCAGCGGTTTCTAGAGCTTAAAATACTAAGAAAAGTTTATATAAACATAGGTCGACAAACGTCCCCTAAGGGCGCTACGGTCTTTTAAATGGGCTCCCCTGAAGTTGGTCTTTCCTTAATATTTCCGAAACGTGTTGAGATAAAGACATAAAATTTGGTATTCTAGCCCAGTTTTTTATGCTGGACTTAAAAATATTAACAATTTTAGACAGTTTTGTTTGGAAGCGTATGTAACAGGGATGGACTCAAGTTATTTTAGCCCCAAAATTTTTGTGTGATTCTATTTTTGAAATTCAATTTTAGAATTTGAAAATTTAGGGTTTTCTACATAAAAAATATGCTCTTGTTGAATATCGATAAATTGTGCCATTTTTGAATAAAATCAAACTAAAGAATTTGTCACATGATAGGAAACGTACTGCGAATTTAAATGAATTCTTGAATAATTATCCATGGCAACAAAAAAACTAATTTAATAATTGGTAAATATTTCATAAATACATATTTCTATTGCAACATAGCTAACATTTAGGCAAAAACAAGAGAAATAAATTTGTTTAAAGAAGAAGACATACAGTTGGATATACTTAAAACTAGCTTTAGAATAAGTGTTCAAATAAATCCCCATTTTGTTGGATACAGAGTCTCGCTAGACGAACTAATGATTGCCTAACCCGAAAGGTGGAAAACCTTTTTCTTCTTATTTCATTTGCAGCCTGATGGATTCTTTGAAGTAAATCTTCTTGAGTATTTACTTCAGTTGAGTAAACTTGCTCTTTTAATGACCCCCAAAAATAGAAATCCAATGGATTTAGGTCAGGTGAACGTGGCGGCCACGCTATAGGACCTCCTCGGCCTAACCACCTATCTGGAAAATTGACATTCAACCAATTTCGAACACTGCGTCCAAAATGTGCAGAGGCGCCATCATGTTGAAAAAAACATATTTTCTTGAAACTGCTGGCGCACATCCAATGGTATTATATCCATGAGCTCATTCTGAAGAAAGTTCAGATACGCCTCTGAATTAAGACGATTGGGAAGTACAATAGGCCCAATTGCTTGATCCCCAATTACTCATGCCCTTCAATGAAAATCTATGTTGGAAATTTGTACGGTGAACAACTTTTGGATTTTCATCTGACCAGTGATGCATGTTATGGAAATTAAAAGCACCATTCCTCGTAAATATTGACTCATCCGACCGTAATATTCTAGGTATAGTGTTTTCATTTGTTAATATCCACTGGCAAAACTCGATTCGTGGTAAAAAATCTGCCTCCGTTAAATGCTGCGCCCGTTTAAAATGATAAGGATGTAATCCTTGCATTCTTGTCATTCTTCCTATCTAAAATTATTATTTTTAAGATAACTATCAAATAGGTAGTCATAAATTTTTCTTACTATTGAGAGAGGTATATCCATAATTTCTGAAACATTTCGTATGCTTATTTTCGGATTATTTTCAAACATATTTAAAGCAGTATCCATACGATGATTTCCCAGTGGCCTTCCTGAGCCCTGCATGCGCTAAAAACTTCCATGGTTTGACAAATTCCGGTGAATATCAGTAAACATTCGACGTCCAGGAACTATGCGATTAGGAAATCTTCTTTGATATTCTCTTACGGCTGCCAATGAACTGCCATTGGAAAACCCGTACACAAAATGCATGTCAGTCAGTTCTCTGTCTGTAAATCTTGGCATTTTAAATCGATAAACTAAAAATTTTGATTTTAATCTAGTAACTTTACACTGCTAACAATGTCAGCTTAACGTCAAAATAAGTCATAACAAATCAAAACAACTTTTGTTTGCAGTTATGGCTAACTATGTATAATCAACAATTCATTTAAATTCGCAGTACATTTCCTATCATGTGACAAATTTTTTAGTTCGATTTTATTCAAAAATAGCACAATTTATCGATATTCAATAAGAGTACCTTTTCATGTAGAAGACCCTAAATTTTCAAATTCGAAAATTGAATTTCAAAAGTAGAATCACACAAACATGTTGGGGCTAAAATAAGCTGAGTCCGTCCCTGTTAGATACGCTTCCAAACAAAACTGTCTAAAATTGTTAATATTCTTAAATCCAGCATAAAAAACTAGGTTAGTATACCAAATTTTATGTCTTTATCTCAACACGTTTCGGAAATATTAAGGAAAAACCATCTTCAAGGGAGCCCTTTTAAAAGACCGTAGCGTCCTTAGGGGACGTTTGTCGACCTATGTTTATATAAACTTTTCTTCCTATTTTGAGCTCTAGAAACCGCTGGTAGAATACTGCACACTTTTTTCGGGACACCCTGTATACAGGGTTATCCAAATTAAGTGTCCACCATTAGTAACTTTGTTATTAGTGAAAATACAAAGTTGTTTGAATTAGCAAACTAGTAGCATTTTTAACGCTGGTAAAAATGAGAAATAAAACAAAACAATTGAGAGTCGTTATTTTGATTTTTTTCAGTAAAATAACATTTTTTTAAATGGAAACCCCTGTATATTATATTTTTTTCTGTTAAAGCATCAAATTTTAAACAAAAAAGTTTATAATGACTTTTCCGCTAAAGTCAAAAATAAAGTCAAAATAACGATCAATATTTTTAATTATTTGCAGTATTATAATATTAAGACGGCTATGAAAACAACATGACGTTCGCGATTTGACAGCATTAAGATAAGCGACAAATTGTTAAACTGGACATACTCGCAACTAGAAGGCTTTGGAAAACAATGATAAAATCAAATAATGTCAAACATTAGTGTAAATACTTGTTTATAAGCTTTATTGTGTCATTAATTTAAAGAAAAATGTTCTCCCATGAAGAAAAGTGTGATATGTTAGAATGCTATTTAGTGTGCAGAAAATCCTCCTTGAGAGCAAGAGAATACTACAGTGAATTATATCCCGCTCGCATTCAACCGTATGAACGATATTTTCTGAGACTTTATCGAAAATTTAGGGGCAACGAAAATGTTTTTGCTAAAACAAGGGCAAAAAAAGAATTCATAATAAGCGAGGCCACGGAAATTGCAGTTATTGGATATTTTGAAGCTTATCGTGAGCAGATATTCTCAAGGACTCTAATTTCAGTTATGGTACTGTTCAAAGGATTTTAAAAGAATACAAATTTATTCCGTATGAGTACCGACCAGTTCAAACGCTTTTGGCAGGGGATCCAGAGAGAAGACTTGTTTTTTGCCATTGGTATCTTAGCTTCTGTCGCCAAAATGTAAATAACTTTCGTTACCTTTTATGGACAGATGAATCAAATTTTTCAAATTCTGGAATGTTTAATAGAAAAAACCACCATTATTGGTCAAGAGAAAATCTTTTGTTAGTACATCCAAGAGGCCCACAAGTCCGTTTCAGTTTCAACGTTTGGTGCGGTATAATTGGTTCAAAAATTGTTGGCCCGTTCTTTTATGAGGGAACCCTAACTAGTGAAAGATATGTGGAATTTATGTCAGAAATTCTGACTAATTTCTTAGACGAATTGGATCTTATAAGTAGACATCATCTGCATTTTCAGCAAGATGGCGCACCTGCCCACAACTCCAGAGGTACTTATCATTTTCTAAGTACTACTTTTAATGATCAGTGGATAGGAACAAATGGCCCAATACAGTGGCCTCCCAGATCACCAGATCTAAACCCACTTGATTACTTCTTGTGGGGTTACTTAAAGAACCAAATTTACAAGCGAAGGTACGATAACCTTGACGCGTTAAAGACTGCAGTTAGGTAAAAGATAACCCAGATAGATGGTAGGACCATACTTAAGACAGTTCGAGCAGTTGAAAAACGTGCCCAAAAATGTATTGAAGAACAAGGTGGTGTTTTCGAGCATCTTCTTTAAAAAAAATTGTTATTGTATTTTGTAAGATTATAAGTTGATGTTGAAAATAAAGTTTGTCGATACAATTTAATTGTTTCAGATTGGAGGCCAAAACTTCAACAATTTGTAACCTAGGAGAAAAGTTATTGTGAGCATTTTTGTTTAAAATTTGATGCTTTAACAGAAAAAAATATAATATACAGGGGTTTCCATTTAAAAAAATGTTATTTTACTGAAAAAAATCAAAATAACGACTCTCAATTGTTTTTTTTATTTCTCATTTTTACCAGCGTTAAAAATGCTACTAGTTTGCTAATTCAAACAACTTTGTATTTTCACTAATAACAAAGTTACTAATGGTGGACGCTTAATTTGGATAACCCATAGGACAGTGGTTGTGAACCCTTCGATCGCGAGCTACCGGTAGCTCGTAAAGGCGATTCTGGTGGCTCACAACATATTATATATATTAAATTACATATATATATACATATATAATATACATATATATATATATATATATATATATATTAAAAAGGTGTAAAACTCATAGAAGCTTCCGTAAATTTTGTAAATTCTTATAATAAACACAAGCAACGGCAACACTGTGGTGAGCGATCTGTTCGAGAACGATCTCGACTATAAAACTGTATGTTCGAAATTTTGAAAAATCATTCCCATTACGTTCTGCAGCCAGAACGGAAAAACTGAAACAATTAAAAAATCAGTTAACTGGACAACAGACAATGTCTTTAATTCAATCGACAAAAGTAAGGCTGCAACTGAAGCATCATATCGGGTGTCCCAGATAATTGCACAAAAGAAGAAACCTTATGAAGACGGGGAAATGATAAAACAGGCGTTTTTAGAAACTGCAGATTCATTATTTGCCAACTTTAGAAATAAAGACGAGATGTGTCCGCTATAAAATTTATGCAACTTTCGGCTAATACAGTGATGAGGCGAGTAGAAGTAATGAGCCATGATATAGTCTTACACTTAAGAAATGATTTCGATATTTTTTACTGCAGCTAGATGAATCCACAGATGCCGTTGACACCTCTCAGATGGCCGTGTTCGTCAGGATGGTTTTTAGTGATTTTACGATTAAAGAAGATCTTCTGAAGTCCTCTAGATTCCACTAAAAGGACAGACTACTGATCAGGACTTGTTTTCTTCTTTTAAAAATATTATTTCTTCTGAGAAAATTCCATGAGAAAACAGCCGATGCTGCTCCAGCTATGGTGGGTCGTAATAAGGGTCTCGTGGGGTTATGTCGTAAAGATGTAAGTTTTCCGCAGTTTCTCCGTTACCACTGCATTATCCATCGACAAGCATTATGTGGACATTTTCTTAAACTAAACAACGTTATGAAATTGGTAGTAAAAATTGTAAACAAGATTAGAGCTCAAGCGTTGCAAAGATGATTATTCAAAACCTTGGGCGATGAAATTGACTGTCAATACGAGGAACTGCTTCTTCACTCTGAAATCTGGTGGTTAAGGCCCGTATCGTCAGTCGTCCCTACAATTGTAAGGCGCCTTTAAGGCCTCCTTGATTGTCATAGTTTTCTACTTCTCCGTGTCAGCGCTCTATTTTGAGGTTATGTCATAAACATCTATTTGCATTAGATTGTGCTTGCTTTTGAGTTATATCATGTTTTATCAGCCTGAAATTCCCTACAATTTAAAGAGAAAACATATAGTATCTTCACAATAATAGGAGACCGCTGACGCTGACACGGGACAACTATAATCTAGAAAGGAGTATGACAATCAAGGAGGCCATAAACGCGCCCTACAATTGTAGGGACGACTGACGATACGGGCCTAAGTAGGGGACGAGTGCTGGAACGTTTTAATGATATCATATCTGCGATAGATCATATTTTCAAACCACGTGATGAACCGATTCCGGAACTGGAGAATTCAATCTGGCTGAGAGGTTTTGAATGAACTTAATTTGCAGCTTCAAGGGAGAGACAAAGAACTAGCAAAAATGATTTCTGATATAAAAATGGAAATCGATTTCCAACAGTTTGCAACTTCTGCTACGCAGATTTTTAGCGAGGATATCGCTGTGACAAATGGAAGTGATTCCGTTTCAAAATGATTTAGCTTTAAAATCATAGTCTCAAATTCAAAATGTGTCTGGCAATCAGTAAGTAAAGATAAATATTTTATGTCGTGTTGCTTTGAAAGTGAAAGCGTTATTTAATTTAACCTATTTGCGCGAATCTTCTTTTTCAAATATGATGTTTATTAAAAACAAATACCGCAATCGACTTACAAATTGTATACGAATGGCGGTATCAAATTATTCTCCAGACATTAAAAAAATTGTCAGTGAGTCTGAATGTCAGGCATCTCATTGCACACGCATTTTTTATCTGAACATATGTTTTTGTTTAAAATAGTGCGTTGGTTTTTTTATTTTTAGTTACCTTTATTAAATCGTATGTGACATTCTAGCTGACGACAAATGTTGTTTATCTTTCAAACACCTACGATTGGTACGAATGGATGTCGTTAGGTATGTAGTATGTATTAGTTATCAGCTTATTTAAGTTTATTACTAGTTATGTATTATTATTAGTAAAATAAACACATGTATGTCGCTTACAACTATGTATAATTTCTTTTAAGTTGGCTTACATTGCTTACGATTAGGTAGCTCACTGTTTATTCCAAAATTATCAAAGTAGCTCCTAGCTCAACATATTAAAAAGGATGGCAAACTCTGTTATAGGACATGCCTACGCTCATAAGTTTTCTTAAAGTAGACCTAAAAATTACCCCCTTAAATATTGACATCCACTTACGAAACACCTTGACTATTAAAACCCGATATGATAAATACAGTTTAAAAAAAGTGGGTCTTACAGACTACAGACAACATGAAAACATCACAATTATAATTATTACGAAATATCCTAAACACGTGCCTAGTATTTACGCATAATCAGAACCGTATCATGAACGTATAGAAAACTCTTGGTATATGTCAGGATGGCCGAGCGGTCTAAGGCGCCAGACTCAAGGTTACCTTGCCTACAATGTAGGTTCCGAGCATTCTGGTCCACTCTGTGGGCGTGGGTTCGAATCCCACTTCTGACATCAACTTTTTATCCTTTTTTTCTTTCACAAACAGTCTGTGAATATATTTTTTTGTATATTTTAACATTGTCTGTTAATATTTCCCAAGGCAACATAGAAGTATGTACTGATTTAAGAAAAATTGAATAATGTGTGAGTCGCCATCTGTATCTCAATACATGTAACCATAGCATGTGTAGGAACCTGTAACAGGCTGGCGCCATCTATAGTACATCTTATAGAATACAGCTATTGATTGGTAACCAATAGAATCTGTAATGCTAGTGTTGCCATCTATCCTAGAGTACATTAACAACCTGCTAGGGACAGAACCGTATTTAATATTTTTATTTGATATTTCAGCGACCAGGGAATTCATGGTATACATCATGGTCATGGAAAAAAAAGATGAATCCAAAAGACCCATCAAACTATCATATTGTGTATACAGTGAAACTACGTAAATCTAGTTTTAAAAAAACTGTCGTATAAGTGAACATAGAATTTTAAGAGAGTAGAAAGTGTGATGCTAAATAATTGTTACTCTATAAATATAATTTATCGAATTCGAAAAAAGTAGTAAAAAAATGTTCTGCTTTTATTCTAATCCACTGTTCAGACCCCCCAATGAAATTTGACACGTCGGTATCATCTCTGCGGTCCGCACCATATCCTAGTGTTCAGATTTGTACGCGCATGAAGATTTTATATTCTGGTCAACATTCAGAAAAGGGGATAAACGACGTCGTTCTATCCTGCACCTTCACCATTCTTGGCTTGTGAGGTAGCCCTCACTAGATGAGACTCTAATGCATACAAAATATAAAAGAAAGTACCTACCGTTAGTGTGGCAGTGTAGAACGCAGCTTGTCCGCAGGGCTAATACGTTAAACACCTATTAAACGTCGAAAAAAGGGCAAAATGACAACTTGCTGCCTAGATAGCTCCTAGTGTGCAATTAGTACATTCCGTGTTTGCTCGCTAGGAGCACTATGTTGGCTCCAAAATGCCGAGATAGTCTGTACAGTAGAGGAAATGAACCAAATTTGCGACAAGCGCCTTATTTCAGACAGTGTTGTGACTTTGTATCTTTGTAGCGCCATCTTCTAGTAATACATAAAAGTTGTGCACTAAGACGCAGTAGTATTCAAGATTTGTTTACACTTTATTTTTGCACATGGTTTTGCCGAGACATCACAACTTGTTACTTGTTCAGAGTTAAAAATCCTTTTAAAATTAAGGTAAGTTACTTAGAACAATTGTCTGATATAAATTTAGTGGTTGACAAATAACTTATCTATTTTCTTTTACAATATTGTGATTTTATTAGCTACCTAACCTAAATATGCTTGTGTAAACTTTTTAACGGAAAATTCCTAATTTGAGATGCCCATGTGTTCCTAATTTGAGACTATCTCAAATTAGGGCCCTGTATCAAGAGATTTATATTTAATTATCTTTTATTATGTTTATATTGCAAATGTCACCGAAACACAAAAAGTGGAATTATTTTTTTATTTTAGAGTATGCTAGGAGCATCAAATCGCAAGTTTATTTAAGAATAGTAGGCTCGTTTAAAACAAAAAGTACTTTATTTTGCCTTCACAAAAAAGTATCTCAAATTTGGTTCGTTTTCTCTATACTCTGAGAAGATATATGGTATGTAATAGCTGTGCCAGACGGGTTATTTGTGTTGTCCTTTCTGAAGAGAACTTATGTTCAATGTTATACATTACGATTTTCCCCGTTTTTTGCGTTTTCAGCAAATCAGCACTGCACCCGCCTTGTGTGTAATTAACCCACATCACAGACAAATTTTGAACGATGCAACACATACAAAACTCGGCACATTTGCATAATATGTAATTTCCAGGTTGAATAAGAAGCGGACAAGAAATCCTCACAATGCGCCAATACTCCAGACATGATCGAAATCCATTCAAGCTTCATTGTTTGGGATCGTACAAACAAACACTCTGCTTTTTTCGAATTCTCAAGAACTGAAATTTGCTACATCCAAATTTACTGATTTTTATGATGAGGTTTCAGAAACAAAATTACTTTTGGAGATACCAAGACTGTGAAGACACTTAAAAGCCGCTAATGTTACAGTTTCTGCTTGGGTATCTCTAGATTTTTTTAAAGTTTATTGTAGAATGGGATTTCACAGACTCTCTTCCAAATCTTATGATTTCACTAAAATTGTTCATGAAGGTTTGCGTGTCCGTAGCTTCATGTGAAAAGAGTTTCAGTAAACTAACACTAATAAAAAACTATTCAAGCAACAATGACTCAATCGCGGCTTAGCAATCTAGATACCTATATTAGTCATCGAATACAACGCAATAAAAAATATAAATTTTGATGAAGTTATTTCTGAGTTTGCAGCTGTCAAAGCTAGAAAGAAGATATTTTAATTGTAAGGTAAAAATATTTTTTCTGTCTTAGCTTTTATTGCGTGTTGTTATTTTTTCAATATTTTAAATATAAATATTAAATGACTCGTCATATAAAATTTATTGCTTTTGACTTTCGATGACGTTTAGGCAACACGTACAGCTGGCGAACGAGTACAGAACAAGTATCCACCAGCTAGTGCAAAGTTGAAATCTGGTAGAAAAACTTCCATAATGTCACAAAAAGCTTATATAATGTCAAAAAACAGACATAATGACACTTTTCAAGATACGTATTGCCCCTGCCGCACATAGTAGAATAGATAAAGATGACCCCCAAGGAGGACTACCTCCAGAGCGGGAATACTCTTACATGTCACCCCAACTAATCTGTATAAAACAATATTCCCACTTCCGCGCAGAATAATACACCATTACTTATTATACACACTCATCAGCGGATTTGGATAAAGAGATCTATTTGTAAGCTAGAGAGATGGCGCGTGTAAAGCCTTACAGGGTGGTCCATTCGTGACATTATGACGAGCATTTCAAGACGGTTTTCGCTGTTATACAGTACGAGGTGGATGAGGAAATAAAAATACGTCGCCTTATACAGACTACCTTATATTACATATACTCTGGTATAAAAAACTACATTTGGTATAAATATTAATCATGATTTCTTGCAACTGATATGATCCATGTCATAAAGTATACTGGATCAAAATCGATTGTCAGAGGTACTCGATGTACTCCTTGAGTGAATCCCTGAGCTCTGTTTTACGTAAATCAGTCTATTGTAGTAGGCATTCGTTGAGGATCAAAGTTTTTCTCAAAAAGAAAATATCCGAATTATAGAAACAAGAATGTAGATCAGAGAACATATTTGAGCCTGAATAAAAATTAATCTAAAATATCATTGATATTTCAGGTACATTTACACAATACCCTTATTGTAGTTTGTGGCACTATATTAGGAACCTTAAAATTAGGTGGAAATATATATATATATTAGCATGCATGTCAAAAAAGTAAATACCTACTGAGTTTTCACAGAAATGAGAAGTGATGTATCTAGGGGTAAAATTTTTTTATTAAATTTCTTATTTTTCAAATCATGACATGCTAATAAATATATCCAACATCTGAGGTAGAAGTATGTGTATAGTAACCTGCTACTTTGGTCTGTAGTTCAGGTAAAAACTTAAATCTAATAATAAAGTAAATTCGATTGATTTGAACCATATGACTAAGTTGTACGTTGTAGTTCTTATTTTAACGTATAGGTGCCATTTTAAGTACTCCATATGTTGTAGTAGACGCCATGTTGAAAGAATGTTGCAAAATAGCCACACTCTACGTAAAAATACCGCCAGTTACTTTTGAAAAACCTCTCAAGGCAACATAGGAAACGACCAAATTATAGCTTACCAGTAATTTCAGCAAGTCAACATTAGGATATACTTGAATGCTTAATTTGGAGTAGCGTGGAAAATAAACTGAATCTTTAGCTTCTCTCAACTATTACTGGCATCTATAATGATGATTTCCTATGAGTACCCATGAGGATAAAATTAGAAAGAAAAAACTTGCAATAAAACACTTCCAAAAATTTGTCAATATTACCATAATTTAATAAATAAAAACAAATTATTTAAAACAATGCAACCAAATAAATAATATCTTTTCTGATAATAAATACATAAAATATAAAATACAAATTTTGAATTTGCGTCTCACAAAACAATGGTGTCGTACTACTTCTGTCATTTTTTAATCTTCACTACCTAGATATAGATTTTGAAGCGTTTGCAAAATATGCCATATGTTTTATAACACCCATTTCTCCTAATATCTATGGCTCAAAATTCAACTCAACATATCTTAAAGTTTAGTCGGATATGTATTTCTCTATAGCTAAATTTTACGTCAAAAACACACAGATATTGTTACAAAATTCATCATACTGCCTAATTTTCTAAGTAAATCGTAAAAAAATAAAATATAATCAGTGTCCGGAATTTTCGTATGCCCGAAAAGTCTCATTTTTTTCATGAAGATATTGGATATACAAAGGACTAAAAACATTAATATTGGCCGTATTTACACCGTGTATAGACAAGAGATTATATAGAGCACAGGATACCGTGTAAACGGAAGCAGAGCACCATTTACTTACAAAACATGGGTAGGTACCTAGTTAGTGCGCTGTGACTATCTAAGCCATTGGCTATACGCGGTAGAGACACCAGCATTTTTTCTATCAGTTTTATTGTCAGCAACATATGAGTGATAATGTCATGACACAATTTGGTCGAATAAGCAAGTTATATCAAATTACAATCTAACCGAGCCAAAGATAGCAGAAAGTTGTCGGTGGCGCTATAGTTATGCTCTCCAGTTGAAAACAAACGTTATTGCTAAAACCTGTGACATCTCACGATTTAGTATAGATAGTAACAAAAAAGAAACGTATGCTTGAGATTGATTCAATTTTTTCTAACCTCTATTAGCGTCCTCCCCTCAATGTGCAGCTAATATATTTTCATGAAAAAACTACCATGCGGCATGTCAGTTAGAATTCCAGTCTATAAATAAAAAATACATAAAACATAGATTTACATGTAAAACCTACGTTTAAAAAATGATAATAAGCCTGAAATGAAGGATGAAGATACAATATTTATTGACGTCCAGATAGTAAATCCTGAATACAACCCTATTCAATTGTTACATTCATTTGTTGATGATTTCATCTTGATTTTGATTTGAATAATGGACATTTGATACACTGCGCATTCCACTTAAAACTATCAATTAAATCGAACTTGTAACAGAACCTTTCCGAAATTTATTAAAAACCAGATTTACAGCTTTTATTTGGTTTTCTTCACAAATTCTATCAACCTTAATTCGACTCGTGGCGCTATCTATCGGCGCCAGGTCGCACTTTGAACACACACGGCATAAACTCCCTACCTTACCGACCCGTCATTGCACGCTAGGTGCAGTTGTGGATTCAGAGGTAACGCCACCGCCAGTACTTTCAGCATTTTCGCTGGCACTGGCCCCATTTTCAGCCGGTTCTTTAGGGGATTTTTCTGTCTTCAACGGGCAATCGGCGAATAGGTGCTCTTCGCTTTTGCAATTATGACAGCGTTTCGGTTGGGGGCCTAGCTGGCATTTGGCCGCTATGTGGTTAGCAAATTCGCCGCAGTTATAACACCTATAACAAGAACCTAGATAAGTATACAGGGTGTCCCAAAGTATAGAGAAAAAAGAGTTACCCATGTAGCATGAAAAAGTGGGCTATGTCGTGTCCATAAGTGGTTTACCTGATTTTCCTAGAACGTTTTTTCGAAATCGGTCTTCTATGGGACCCTTTGCAGTCTATGCCTCCAACGCCAGTGACTTTTGTGGCCTCCAGGCCCTTTTCTGACGTCTTGCATTCGAACTCTACTTCTTCTTCGTCACCTAGTGAACGGAAGCCAGTCATCTGTATAACACTCTGGAACAAAATGAATAAAATACTCCGTAAGTAAAGCGTTCTGGCTTAATGGAAGAGTTTTAATCTCTAGTCATCTTGTGGACATCATTGTTATCTATGTTAACAACCAATACGTACTATTAGTATAATCATTCAGGTTTTTGTGCAAAATTGATATTCTCATAGAGTTCAGCTTACGTTTTACGAATATCTACTTTTGTAAGTAGATACGTCGTATTCTGTCCGCTCGAGCCGCCATATTGGAAAAATGGTACCAAAAACAGTAACACAAGTTATGATGAGATATAGCTAGACTAGGCTATATGGAGAGAATTTTCTACAATTTGTAGAGAAATGCCAAGTTTTCTTTAATATACTTCTATTGCTTCAATGATCAGGTAGTTTTGCATGGAACAAGGACAAACTTTAAAAATCACTGCTTCCATATGTTTCATCGTGTTTTCCTAACTTTTTTTGTGTTAGAATAAGCAACTGTTGAACTTACCAAAATAGATAAATTTGTAATAAAGTTCGACAACAAATATATTATATATACTAAGTGACATATAAATCCGAGCACCCAGTTTAAATGGTTTTATTTTAATAAAATTTTGTATAAGTACTTAATGAAGCATAATAAGTAAATGATAAAAATTTCAAAATGATTGCACTGCTTTAAAACCCTTTGACCTTTAATAATGTGTGGATGCACCCTGATGTGCTACGCATTCTCCAACGCGCCTAGGCATGCTTCTGATCAGGTGGTCAATGTCCTCCTGTGGTATCTCATTCCAGACAACTACCAACTCCTCTCGAAGTGCTTCTAGAGTCTGAGGAGGACGTTGCAAATTGAGCAATGTCCTACCCATCATATCCCACACGTGCTCAATTGCGGATAAGTCGGGAGATCTTGGTGGCCAGGTAACAATGTGACATCATTATGTTGAAAGAAGTCTATTGTGACTCTTGCAACATGTGGTCGGGCTTTATCTTGTTGGAAAGTTGGATCTGCCAGGGTGTCAAGATAGGGTAAAAGATGGGGTTCTAGAACTTCGCGGATATAACGTTGCGCGTTCATGTTACCTCTGATGAAGATTAAAGGTGACCTGGAACCATAAGCTATAGCACCCCAAACCAGAACTCCAACAGTGTGATGAACATGTCTTTCAACAAAAAACTGTGGATTCCTCCTTTCACCACGTCGCCTTCTAACCCTGGCACGACCATCGTGCATGCCTAAACAAAATCGAGACTCGTCACTAAAGACAATACTGTTCCATTCCTGATCCCAGAGTGACCGTTGTCTGCACCACTCAAGGCGATTACGTCGGTGTTCTCGAGTTAAAGGGAGGACCCAGTGTGGCCGGTATGAAAACAAGCCAAAACTTCTCATTCGTCGGTAAACACTTCGCATGCCAATAGGTCTTCCGTGTTCTGCAAACCATTCATTTGCAATGGACCTGGTAGTGGAGAAACGGTCCCTTAAGGTCAATAATCTTAGGTGGCGATCTTCACGGTCTGTTGTTCTACGGCGGCGTCCAGTGCCCCTTGCTCTTTGCGTACGGCCTTCTCGAAGCCATGCCTGACAACACCTAACCACAGTGTCTACACTTCTTACCACTCTAACTCCAACTGCCCGAAAAGAAAGTCCAGCTTCCCGAAGTCCCACTATACGGCCCGTATCAAACTCACTAAGTTGACGAAATCGTACAGGTCTCCGTACTCTAGGCATCGTAACCGATCGTAAAGGATGTCAAGAACCAAAATCCGCCAACGTTGATTCTTTACTGCGGCTGAAATATTCATTTTTAGAGCGTTAGTGAATTAAAAAAAGCAGTATAAAAACCGGAATGTCCAACTGATAAGGCTGAAATTTTTTTCACTTGTTATTTACAGTAAGATAAATACATTCACCAACTTTTATTAACATAAAACCATTTAAACTGGGTGTTCGGATTTATATGTCACTTAGTATATTAATAAACCACGAAGTAACAAACGTACAAAGCATGGCAAAACGTGTGTGAAATGAACATAAAGATCGCGACAGGTTATTTCGAACGTTTTTGACATTCCATACCAATACGTGTATTCCTTACGCAGTTTAACCTTAGTCTTCGTACATTGGCCATAAATTAAACTATTCTTTATGCTCAAAATTTAGCACCCTTGGCATCTGTTAAAGGCATCATCCTTGACCGCTTAAAATATCGTTATACCTACAACTGCGTGTTTCTACTAGAGATATCAATTTCAAGCTCATAGATAAAAAGCCCTAGTCCTTCGACCAACTATTATGCGTGGTTCAAACGTGAGAGGGTCCAGTTTAAATAACAATAAATCTTGGTTATCGAGAGCAAAAAAAACTTTCATTCAAAAGAACCAGTGGCGTCCGTTGAAGTATTCTCCAAAAAGATTGTCACTAGGGTATCTGGATTCTCGACCTCTTTATTTCCCACGCCTACTGGCGGGAGATACTAAGTTTTTGGATGTTATATGACATGGTAAATCACGAAAAACCAGGTCACTCATTTTCCTCGGGCTGTCTGTCGGGTTATCCGCTAATCTTATAACGTACCACTCGGTTATCGATGAAATTTTTAAATAATGTTACCATTATGCCAAGGATGCAAAAGTTTTTGAAAATCGGTCCAGTGGCGGTGAAGATACAAAGTAAAATAAGAACCGCTCAGGCGTCCTTTTTTTACATTTCAAAAATTAGAACTAAAAAAAAGGTGGGGGAGGGGTTGCGGAGGGTGGAATTCTACGCACATATTTCACACATTAGATTTCTCTTTACATTAGACCCTAAAAAATATTCTCAGCAAACGGATCGCGTACCTACACACAGCACAGTGTTTCCTAGGGTCTGACCGCGTTGACACTTCCGATCCTGGAGATGCGACGTCCTCAGATGCACTACCGGTAGGACAGGTAAATAATGTCTATGGACGAATTGTATGGACCTGTTTGACTGACTTTTTTTACCACAGGATCTAGTTTCTGCTGTACTGATAAGGCCGTTGTGCGGAAGGTGTAGAGTCATCCTATTTGATGCCATTTTACTAATTTCCTGATGAGATATACTAAGTGACATATAAATCCGAACACCCAGTTTAAATGGTTTTATTTTAATAAAATTTTGTATAAGTACTTAATGAAGCATAATAAGTAAATGATAAAAATTTCAAAATGATTGCACCGCTTTAAAGCCCTTTGACCTTTAATAATGTGTGGATGCACCCTGATGTGCTACGTATTCTCCAACGCGCCTAGGTATGCTTCTGATCAGGTGGTCAATGTCCTTCTGTGGTATCTCATTCCAGGCAACCACCAACTTCTCTCGAAGTGCTTCTAGAGTCTGAGGAGGACGTTGCAAATTGAGCATTCTCCTACCCATCATATCCCACACGTGCTCAATTGGGGATAAGTCGGGAGATCTTGGTGGCCATGGTAACAATGTGACATCATTATGTTGAAAGAAGTCTATTGTGACTCTTGCAACATGTGGTCGGGCATTATCTTGTTGGAAAGTTGGAACTGCCAGGGTGTCAAGATAGGGTAAAAGATGGGGTTCTAGAACTTCGTGGATATAACGCTGGGCGTTCATGTTACCTCTGATGAAGATTAAAGGTGACCTGGAACCATAAGCTATAGCACCTCAAACCATAACTCCAGCAGTATGATGAACATGTCTTTCAACAAAAGACAATACTGTTCCATTCCTGATCCCAGAGTGACCGTTGTCTGCACCACTCAAGGCGATTACGTCGGTGTTCTCCAGTTAAAGGGAGGACCCAGTGTGGCCGGTATGAAAACAAGCCAAAACTTCTCATTCGTCGGTAAACACTTCGCATGCCAATAGGTCTTCCGTGTTCTGCAAACCATTCATTTGGAGAAACGGTCCCTTAAGGCTAATAATCTTAGGCGGCGATCTTCACGGTCTGTTGTTCTACGGCGGCGTCGAGTGCCCCTTGCTCTTTGCGTACGGCCTTCTCGAAGCCATGCCTGACAACACCTAACCACAGTGTCTACACTTCTTTGCACTCTAACTGCAATTGTCCGAAAAGAGTCCAGCTTCCCGAAGTCCCACTATACGGCCCCTATCAAACTCACTAAGTTGACGAAATCGTACAGGTCTCCGTACTCTAGGCATCGTAACCGATCGTAAAGGATGTCAAGAACCAAAATCCGCCAACGTTGATTCTTTACTGCGGCTAAAATATTCATTTTTAGAGCGTTAGTGAATTCAAAAAAAGCAGTATAAAAACCGGAATGTCCAACTGATAAGGCTGAAAATTTTTTCACTTGTTATTTACAGTAAGATAAATACATTCACCAACTTTTATTAAAATAAAACCATTTAAACTGGGTGTTCGGATGTATATGTCACTTAGTATATTTCAGTTATCTGCTTCGGCGACTTGTTTCTACAACAATTTATAATTTGATTTAAATCAAGCTTGAAGTTAAAAAAAAACAATTGATTTAAATCATGATTTGAATAATTTTATTTAAATCGTCGCAACCCTGCCAAATAACGTCATAGTAGCTGTTGTCATGAACGCTAGACCGCTACTTGTGTGTTTTGGAAACATTAAACTGTACCAAATTGCTAATCAATGCCACAAAAGGCTCAAATCTTCAACTATATCATTTTTTGACGTACGCCTATGTAAGCACTCACTCACAATAGAGCAATATTTAACATCGACTTGTTGCTGGACGCAGGGACCTGTTATATAGGTCGGTAAAAAATGGGGAATATCAAGAGGGGTGAGCCTAGCTACCCCTCGAATAGTTTTTTACTCGAGTACCTGCCTATTGTAACATCAGTGATTGGCTCGGATGCCAAAGCAGGGTGCTTCTTTGTCATAAATTCGTATACGTTACAGAATAATATGATTTACCATAATTAAAATGACAATCTCAGGCTATCGATCACCTTTAGTGAAAAGTAGATACTGGTTTGTAAAAAACTGCCGACAAGTAGATTGGTTGTGTACCTCCCACGGCTTCAA